GACCTATAGAGAATGAAAAGGATAGGAGGAGTAATTTTAAAGGAAGCCATCTGCTAGGGTAATACAGTGCTGGGTCATTCTGTGACCTCTGATTGTTTGCAGTCCCAGTTAGTGCAGCTGAGGTCCTCCTTGTTCTATGGCCCTATGTAACCTGGCTTTTGTAGTCAGTGTTAATCCCATGAGAGATGGGACAAACTGCTCAGTCATGTTAAGTGTGCTGAATCACTAAGGTCATTCAAGAAGACTCTGCAGGGTTCTGGGATCAATACACTACTGACATGTGGATGAGCATAATGGACCAAATGTCTGCCTCTCATTTTTCAACCTGAAGATTAATTGATAGAGGGTGTTTGGTGGAGTTGTTGGATTTCATCAGAGGTTTTGGTGTTGCAGACACCATCTCTGCTTAGAGCATCTGAACTGACTCTGATCAAGTCATGGGGATTCTCCAGTTAAGATAAGGAAATGTACTCTAAAGGTCACTCCTGTTTCCTGTCTGTGTATCGTCTTGCTCAGGCATGCTATAATTTAGGGTTGGAGTAAGGAGAGGCTGAAATATGTCAAGTCTGTATGCTGTGCATGTAGAGTGAATATGCTCATCCTTATTTTCTGAATAACCCTCTGGAAGCTGTTAGTAATTTAAGTGCCTAAAAGTTCCTAGTTCTTGATCTGTTGGTGCTTGCTTATTTTTCAGCAGGCATCAATAACAGTTCTACTTTTCTTGCACTTCACGAAATTCTCATGTTCTTGATCATGTTAAAATGTGTGAAGGCTTTAAAGCCCATTAAAAGTAGGTCTGCTAGGGCCAGACTGGATGGGGAGTTTTGAAAGTAAGTATGAGTGTAGACCTGTCGAGATATGCTACCAACATCTAAGAATCTTTGCTGGTCTAGGGATGGGCAAAAATTGGGTGTACTTATTTCAGAAGCCTTTTCTCATGAAAGCATGAAACATTTTGTGGCTTACCTCGAAATTCCTGGGAATCCTGTTAGAATGCCTCTTAGGAAATGGACACTTCTGATCATGGATGTCAGGCCATTGTGGGTGCAGAGGTTTCCTGCACCCCTGGATGATAGGGAGTTGGGTCTCCTGGCCTTCTGCCCAGGGTGAACAGGCAGCTGTGTAGCCTGAGTGTAGGACAGCTCTAATGGGGGACGACGACACTGCTTTCCTTCAGAGTGTGATTATACAGATAGTTATTCTCTGCAGTGTTTTCTGTAATCACTTTTTTTGACAGAATTGGTAGCTAATTTTCTGATTCATATTTTGTTAATTCTTTCTCAGAGTAAGTCTACAGACAAAATAAAAGTAAGAAAACTTAATCGTAACAGTATGAATATCAGGTTTCTTTAGCAGTCTTGCCCCTTGAGTGGCTTTGACGGACACTTCCGGTTGGCAGCAGTAGCCTAGTGTGGATTCAGCTTTGCAGTTGTACAGATGCCGCTTGTCATGATGTGATGTTCCCCTAAATTATCGCGTGGAGAATCAAATCCCCACACCGCAGAGAGCAATCATGCTTGGCATATCGGGTGGATCGTGTCTGCCGAGCATGTCTGCGTATGTATGGTTACATGTTACATGTATGGTGCATTAGAGAAGTTTGTGGGAGGGTGCCCTCCTGATATTGCAGCCTCTCTGTGTGTTGCTTTGTAGGGACTGGGGGCATGACCCCCGTGAGAGACTACAGCAGTCTAAATGCTGTAGGCAGGTTTTGTTGCGTCTTCCCATGTGTAGTTGGGACTTGGAGTTGGATTTTACATTCTGTTGGCTGCCCTTGCCTAGCATAGTGAGGGATAGTTTTCAAATGAGCGATAGAGCTGCAATGTCCTCTTTTGGAACAAAAGTGGCTTGTGTCCTGCTCAGTGCTCAGTGGATGTGTGATTAAACACTTTCGGGATGAGGCTCCAGCTGGAAGAAAAGGAGCTCACCTGAGGGAGTGAGATGATGTTCTAGCTGCCCCTGTCAACGCCGAGGAAGGTATTCCATGATGTCCTGCAGCGATACCCAAAAATGAAATCTTAAGATGCGCTAGTGCTTAATCCTGAAACATCTCGTGCTTTTTCACCCTGGTTTTTGAAAATGGAAACCCTGGTAATGTTACAAAGCCAGCAGGAAAAACTTTATCTCATTATAGCAAGTTTTAAATTGGTGTCTGGAAAGACTTGCAGGATGCTTTTTATTGCTGTACTGTTTCCTCACAAGGAAAACATTTGGGAACTGTTGTGGTTTTCAACTTAAGTAGCATTCTAGCGTTTCAAGTTGTTCTTTTAAAATGTTTTGTAAGGAGGAGTGTTTACTTTTTTTTTGCTGTTTTGAGCTTCAGAAATGTCTTTCTGTCCTGCCAGCCTCATCTAAATGGTCTCATGCAAACAGCTTCAGTTTCAAATTTGTGCTGTCAAAGGGTGACACAGAGGCATGAAGCAACAAATACCATTTCTAAAAAAAAAATCAAAATTTAAGTTATTTAGGTTTTGCAGGGGACTTCTTCTGGTTTATTAGTCCTAATACTTCGCCCTTGACAGCATAGCTCGGTTTAGAGACCGCTCCCTGCAGGAAGCAACATAATTAATCTTTTCCAAGATGTGATTGGATTTCAGTCAGGTCCTGGGCATTTGATCACACAATAGTTAGGGAGCTATTCATGTGAAGGACAGTGTTGGCCAGTGGTGGACTGGAGTACTGGACAGATGTAGAGTACTTGAGGAAGACAGGTGTTTGGCAATTCAAGAGCAAGTTCTACCTCATAGGAAAAAAACAGAAGAAAGGGAGGTAGATGTTGGCACTATCTATGTCCACACTCGTGACTCCACCCAGACCCTCCTCTCTTAGTTCTAATCTAGCCTGTGACAGTGTTTTAGCAGCTCTGTTAGCCACAGAACAGCTGGGGAATTTGGGGTGGTGTGTGATAGAGATTTATACTTTTTTGTCTGTATGCAACTAGTTTTCCTTCAGACAGATCTGTAGAGGTGACTGAGTTCTATTCCTAAAGGTTTAGATTCCAGTTTTCTCTCCAAGAGCTCTTGATTTCTACAAGCTGCCTTTAAAAGGAAGCAGGACAGCCTTTACATACCTGGTTGTATCTGTCACAGACGAGACGCTGTATATATGAATATCTTCTGAACCACTGGTTGCTGGGCGGACTTTGGATTACTTTCTTCTCAAAGGGTGCTGTTAGGCTTCAGTACAGTGTGATGGGGGGTCAGAGGCAAAGTGCTAATTCCCATTAACATGAAGTTGAAGCCTTTTAATCTTTAACAATGGAAAGAGCATGCAGGTGCAGCAATACAGTCGAGAGACTTGTAATCTCTGTTGACCTGCTGTCCTGAGGTGGTCAGATCTTCAGAGTTTTCTCCAGTGAAGTCTATCTGAAGGGCAGCAAGAGGCTGAATTTCAGTTTGTTACATTGTTCAGCTGTTCCAGTGTACACTTATATTCAGCTTGGTTTTAGTTGGATTAGGTCAAGCCAGAATTTCACACCATTAAATGTATGTTGTGAAGAGCCCAATTAAGCATTTGACCATCTATGGAGCAGGCGTTCTGCTGTATAAGCTGTATGTAGTGTCCTCTGCTGGGAAAGTTAAATTGATTTTTGTATAAAGGAGCACCTGATACGGCAATTTCCGTAAAGACTTTTCAGTGAAATAGTTTCACAGTACAGAAATTCTTAAACCACGCAGCTTTGTAAATGCAATGCCTTAGCAACTTATTTCTGCTGTGTACTTCTTAAAGGGTAATTACGCCAACATTGTATTGATGTATTACTGCAGCTGCTTCAGTTTCTACGAAAGAAACCATCACCCTTCTAAGGCTGTGTTTATACCCCCTCTCCTTTCTCTTGTGGCCGCAGTGAGAGTGGGGGTTGTACTACGCTGGCAGTTGTGTGTGGGCCCTGGGGTGGTGTGCTCGTGCTCATTGGCATGCTTTTCTGGGCAATGGTTTCCCTCAGATGCTAAACCTTTTTTTTCTGAATGAAAGCCCCTAAATAGCAGTTGCTGAAAAGCCTTAGCGTACAGTAGAGTCTTAAAAGTTGTCTTTGTTTGTTGTGGGGGAGGGTAAATGCCTGTGCCTTGGGGATAGGGCTGGAGGCCGTTAAGCTCATTCACCTCTGTTCAGCGGATTTTCCCAGCGGCAGACTCATCCTGCATGTGTATTTGTTGGGTGGAGCTGCAGTGCGTTTCAGGGATGGGTTGAAGTGTTTCCATGTAATTTATGGCCAACAGCAGGGGAACTACATAGAGGTACACGAGTTCAGCCTGCAGGTGTCATCCCTGTGCAGCTTGAGGGAGTATATTGTTTTTTGTAATCATTGACTCTGTATTCTATCTGTACACAGTAGTGTGGAGCTGTAGCTGGGGCTCTGGATTTGCGACTGGAAAGTTGTTGGTCCCAGTTCTGCACTGGGTGTAGCTTTTGTACCCTTGAGCAACGCACTGCACTTGTATAGTGCAGTAGCATCTATATCACTCTGCAACTCACAACTGGCAACCCACTGAAGCTAAGCAGGTGTGAGCCTGGTCAGTACCTGGACGGGAGACCTCCTGGGAAAAACTAAGGGTGCTGCTGGAAGTGGTGTTAGTGGGGCCAACAGGGAGTATATTCTCATGAAGTCTAACACCCCTAGACTTCAGGGTGAGTGCCCTCTGCTGGCCCCACTAACCTCTTCCAGCAGCAACCTTAGCTTTCCCCAGGAGGTCTTGCATCTAGGTACTGACCAGGTCATACCTGCTTAGCTTCAGTGAGTTGAGATTAGCTGGAGAGTTACTAGGAAGAGCAGTGGGTTTGTGGAACAGCGTGTTTTTAGACAATGCCACAATGCACACTATTCACCATGACCTATGGCAAGGTACTTGTGTGGCCTTATGTAGAAGTTAAAAGAATTACTCTGGAAGATGTTGAATTGCTTTTTAGCTCATTGCCAGCAAACCTGTTGTGGACATGAAGCTGCTGGTGTTTATGGAGGAAGTCTGCTGCTCTAACACTGCTGCACTGCTGTCTTCCAGGGTGACCAGAAGAGAGATCCCAGTGTTTGCCCACCTCCTCTGCCCGCAATCCCAAGCTGTGGGAGCTTCTACGTTCCAGGTTGTAAGTGTATTTCTGAACCTGTTTCCTTCCATTATTTTTTTTTCTCCCAAGATTGCAAAGGATGACTGTTCTGATTTGCTCTCACAAGACCAGATTCTTTGAGGGTGGTTCTTGTTAGGTTGGTAAACCACAGTAATGATCTCAGTAATGAGTTGCTATTTGTATTTGTACAGTATTTTCTTTTGCTGATGAACCAATAGTGACACAGGACACTTGGAAGAACAAATCTGCATTCATCTGAAAACATTTTTAATTAGCCTTAAATCTGCTGCTTTTATGAGAGTATGTAATACATTTTACAGTAAGAGTGAAATCTCTGTTTTCTGACATTAAGGAATTCCTGATTCAATATTCATGGATTTTGTCAGACATAAGATAAGATCACTTTATTGGCCATATACAATGTCTTGTATTAGGAATTTGTCTTTTTTACATACCCAAATTTGCTCTCCATGTGATAGACAGGGAGAGAAGCTTGGGTCAGAGTGCAGGGTCAGACATTTATATGGCGCCCCTGGTGCAGTTGGGGTTAAGGGCCTGGCTCAAGTGCCCAAAAAAGTAGGGATATGAACCGGCAACCTTCCAGCCACAGGTGCAGATCCACACCACTTCACATTCTTCTGCCAATATAGTAAATGCATACTGATATGGTAATACTGGAACATTATAAAGCAGGGTTAGATTTTATTGACTGAAAATGGTGAAACCTCATAGTTAAGTGCGGTTTTTAATTTAAGAGAATGAATTATTGCATCATGATTATCTATGGTTATTACTCTTTAGAGTTTTAAATCTGTTCTGAATGTGCTACACAAGTGAGCTTTCTAAAACATTTTTAAAGGGGACTATTTTTCCTTTTTCTCTTTCCCTGTAGGTTTCCACGCAGGTCTGAGGCTCCCTATGCAGCACCACATGAAATGAATAAAGCACCACAGCCTATAGCAGGACCCCCCACAGTCCCCCATCCCGCCCCCTCTCCTGGCCTTTCTCAGGTAACTGTACACTTAATCCAGGACAGACCTAATACATCAGCGTTGGTGCATGAGCCAGCAGCAGGCACTGAATATTTAATGCTCGTTACCTTATTTTAAGTATTTGTATATACAGTCTTGGAGTTAGGATTCATTGGCTAATATATTAGGAACTAGCACTGGAGTTTTGTTGGTCCTTACAGAATCTCAGACTGTAAGGTGATTTGCGATGCTGCTTCACAGCCCCTGTGTCCTGTTTGATTCTGACTGATGTCAGGGGTGGTATCATTTGACCACGTTCAGAGGACTTTTCCCCATTGCGTTTCTTCCCACCTTTCAAAGCCATGCTTTAAAAGGTGAAGGCTGATTCGCAACTCCATTGTCTGTTTTCCATTTTAAGGGTGTTTACACTCTTTGAAAGGTTTGTTCTCAATACAGCAGGTGATAGCAGGTGTACGGATCTCAGTGATCTTTTGGAAGAGATTTATGCCCACACTCATTGGTTGCCTCTGATATGAACCAGCACTATTAGGTTTGGCTTAGTCTGACCCTTGTGTAAAATTAGGTAAGCAGCATGAGTAGAAGCAGCACTTTACAAGTCTGTGAAATATTAACATATCCATCTTATCCTGGTTTTTGTAATAGTGATGGTCTGTGGGACTGAACAGGCTGTTCAACAGGTTCTGTTTTTTTTTTTAAATGAAGCCCAATTTTTAGAAACTCTTGTCCTCTCTTACTCTCCTCCAGCAACCTTTTCCTTCGGGACAGCCTTCCGCTCCTGTCGTGTTCGCTACCCCCCCGACACAGATGAACACCCCTCCACAGCCTCGGCAGGTATGCCCACCTTACTCATCTGGCAGCAGTCTCCCTGTAGTGCCCCTTGCAGGAAGGGCAGTGACTGCTAAGTTCAGATAAAAGAACTTGTGTTTTTAAAGTTTTTATAGAATTCTCAATATTTAACTTTTATTTATATGTGATTTTTATAAGTAAATATTTTTTTTCTGCAGTCAGTCTGCTAATTGATCACGGCAGTATTTATTCAGTTACATTTGTGCTATATAACGAAAATCAGTTTTGGGATCTTTGATCATATGTGACTGTCTTCTGTGGATCCTGTACCTGGTCCTAGGACATGTGCATTCCACTCTAAAGGCCACAGTCGTTCTCTCGCCGTCTAGTCCCATGCTTAATTAGCAGCCTCTGGCATTCCTACTTCCCCCTCCACATCATGGATGAAGAGAGACTATTTCTCTGTCTCGTGCACGTTCAGCAGTGATACAAAACTCTAGATCTTGGTTTTCTTGATCTTGCATAGCATATGTCATCATTCTTGTCACTTCTGGAAGATGGTGTGTGTGGGGGGGTATTCTGCAGATGGTAGAATTGTTTTGCTTTCCATGTGTAAAGATTGTACTTCATTAGATACTTTTGGGTTCGCCCCTTCATTAAACTCGATGGTGCCGTTTGCAGGCCTCTTGCATGGCTTTGGGGGGAGGGTTGTGAAGTGCCTCTTGTGGCTTCCTCTCACATGACTCCCCTGGAATTAATGGTAATTGTCCCCTTCCTCTCAGCATTATCATAGCTTTTTTTTGGAAAAGCTGTTAAATTCCTTCAAAAGACCCTTTTGATCGGGCCTCGTGACGCCGTTTCTAAATAGTGATGCGGCCATCTTCTGAACCTCCCTACTGCTGAGCCTCTGCTTTTCCCTTCTGTGTGCATGCGTGAGTGCAAGGGGCAACACCCTGGCCTGGTGCTTCCAGGTCTCTCTGTGTGTCAGTTTGCGCATGTTTTTAAAATGTCTGTTTTAACTCTTTACCTGGCTCTCTCCTCTGTTCTTTGACTGTCTCTCTTGCTCTCTCTCTAGTTTGCTGCAGGTCCTCGTGCTTTACATCAGCAGGTACTAACGCTAATCCTCTGTGTGTGTGTGTGTTGGCAAGGGGGCCCAGAGGAGAATGGCCCTCAGTGTCTGCACTTGACAGGGGGTGGGGTGGAGGTAGGATGCAAAATGCAGGTAGAGCGGTCAGCCCTGAAGCTGAGGTGTGTGGGTCTTCAGAAAATTTCATCCTGGAGCTGGGGTTGACTCATTTGTCATGCTTTTAGCCTTCAAATCCTTTCAAAACTAGACTAAGAGATCTTTCCTCAAAGACTTTTCTCAAGATCTTTCCCTGAGGCAGAGGAAATAAGGCTTGACAGTACAGTGCTTTGGTGGAAAAAGGTTTGTGTTAGCATTGCGCTTAACTTTGGTGAAAGAAAATCGGACCAATTCAGGACATTCTGATTATCCCCTATAGCTTTGTCTCTCTATGTGGTGAAAACGCGCTGTGAGAGGCATGAAATGAATGGAGCCTTGCGCTCTGTGCCTGCCTTCATCAGGCGGTATTAATAGCAGCTGTAGGCTGTAATGAGGGCATGTTGCAGGCTGGCCTAATAACGGCAGCAAGAGGCGCTGCTCTCTGCTTGTGGGAAGGCACTCCTGATGAAAACTGGGAGCTGAGTAGTTTACTCCCATTTAACTCCCTCGCTACCTCTGCCGGCCCTGTCATGCATTTTTTTCATTTCTAACCCCCTAACACTTACACTGACACTGATGTACAGAATGAAGCATATTGTCTGAAAAGATTTCCCTCTAGCATTATAGGATTTGATTTAGGTGTATTTTAGGCATTTTTTTTCAATGCAGGTTTACCTCAGGGAGTAGCTGCTTAAGAAACCATTGTTTCCATTTAACACATACTTCCAGAAGACGTTTAAAGCTTTTGCTCACATGTGGAATTTTTCAGTTTTTCTCCAGTTCCACAAAAATACCACAACTAGTAAGTAAAAAAAGACCAAATTGCTTCAGAATGGCCTTTCCCTCTAGTTTTATTGCATCAGACTTGTCAATATATAGGAATCGGATTGTTCAGCGAAGTGTGTCAGGACATAATCCACAATAGAGATGGTTGCAGCACTTGGGCCGTCATCTTTATTGTTAATATCTGTTTGCTATGTTGGAAAGCTGCACCCCATAATGTGATCTTGTGGCGTGTGTCTTAGTCTTGTATTTAAAGTTTGCCAAAGAAAGCTAGCCAAGGTGGACTGGGGGAAGTGTGGAACCATTACCTTTAAAACACCCAAGCTCATGGGACCCTTCTTGTTTTGGAGGTGAAATGGCTACTTGAGTGAAAAAATACTAGTATTAGTGTTCATTGCATTTCAAGAGTGGAATTATGTTGTCACTTTGGCCCCACTATTGAAAGATTTACAATTAAGAATATGCTACCGTCTAGAGAAGTATGTCAAGCAAGCTTCTGATAGATGGGTCTACTGCATGTGTAGGTATTGCCCTCCAGCCTCAACTAGTGTTGGAGGTCAGTTTTGGCAGTATTGTTGGAGCAGTCGTTCACCAAGTATGCTAGTTTGTGCAGGAGTAACTGCAAGTAAGAGAATCTGAAATCCTGTTCCTAGTTTATAGTTTTTGCAGTGCAGTCTGTTTATAAGAGTTACCAGCTACCCTTCCTGACAGCACTCTTACATTTTAATCTAATAAAAAAAAATGGTTGAAAGACATCCAAAGAATTCCTGCTCTCCGTCTGCTCATGGACTGATAAGAAAAAAACAAAATCATTGGAAAATTTCTGGACAAATTATTTTTTAATAATGTGAGGTGTCTTTTGGTCCACCATGCTGCCTTTTTGCATTTGCAAAATGCAAACGTTTTGCAGTTTTGCATCTGGCTGGTACAGTAATAGCCTCAAAAGCCCCTCATATGCAATTGAGAAATAACTAATTTGCAATTTTGATTATATGTTCAAAGTCAAAAGAATTGAGTTAAAGCAAATGAGCCAATTGTCAAAAGAAAAGCTAGCTTAAAAATTGTTTGCTTCCTTCATTTTATTAGTCCGCTTATGGGAGTTATATGGTCACAGATATCTTTAGAAGCAGGCTGCACTATAAAATTCCTTCAAGACTTAACATGTGGCAGGAGTTATAATGACATTTATAAACATTTTTACAGGTGATCTTTTCTCATTGGGTAGCCATTTGACCTTGAAGATGAGCAAGGTGCCAGTATGAAGAGGGGAGTGGGGGGTGTCTTAACCATGGGGTTTCTGTGAGGCATGTGCCAGGACACCCGGGGTCCTTAGTGGTAGAGGGGTTTGGTGGTGTTGGAGGTGGCAAGGGGCTGGAACTGTCTGTCTTGCATGCTGCTTGTTGAAATAATGGGCTGTTAAGGGAGGGTGGGGGTACTCTGTGGACATTGCTTTCTGTGTGCTCTCACAGCTGATGGGTAATGTCTTTTCTTTTCCTGCTTTCTCTTTCTTCTGTTGCTTCCTCTTGTGTGTGTTTGTGCTGCCGAAGGGAGGATTCAGATCCCTGCAGGTAAAGGGCCTTTCTCACTCCCCTCCCCCACACACCCATCAGGGCAGGAGGGTGAGGTTGACATGCCTCAGGGGTCACAGTGCTATTGCCTCCTTCTGTGAGCCCCAGCAACCCCTGATGCCTGTAAGGAAAGGGCTTTTCTTTGGTCCACCTTGTGAATTTATTTCCTCATTCTTTTTTACTCTTGGATTTTACCACTATTTGGAAATCATTAAGGATTTGTACAAGGTCTAATGAGCAATAGCATGCCAAAAATGTTGAAAATAGGTTGCGAGTCACTGGCTTCCAGATCGCATAGTGTCTGACACATGAATACAGTGTTCTTAATAGAAATTTATGAATTGAGACTAACAAACTTGCATCAAAACTGTACAGTGAAATAACATTTCACAGGCCTACCAGAACCTTGAGTAATGAGCTGCAACTACACAGTTGTCTGCTTCATCATTTTCACCTTCCTTCTCTATGCCTTTTGCTTTCGGGTGCATTTTTTCATTATGATCCACTGGATATAATTGATTCCTGTGACTGCACAAAATGCTACCTAAATTGTTGCACATTTTTTGTGATAATTTCATTCCATCATTAATAGCTTCACAGTTTACTACTTAAATAGTAATTGTCAGCTGCATCTTCAGTACTAGTTCAAACCATTGGATTCTGATCCTCAAATATAGAATCAAACATTCTAGAGTTCAAACAATTTTACACAGTTTGCATCTGAATTTCATGGCATGTGATTTTGGTTCTGGGCCTCCAGTGGCACAATGTTGTTTGCTCATTAGTCCAACATTCCACTGACATTCATGGGTTGACCCTCAATTCAGTCCAAATATCGCTCGCTTATTGATCTAGAACTGGACTGTCTTATTGTGGTCCTGAAGGGCCAGTATGTCTGTGGGTGTTCTAGCCTTCTTTAAAGCAGTAGCACCTGAAGAGCTAAAAAGTTTAATTAGTCCATTTAAGCTAGTAACCAGCTGAGAGACGCTGCCTCTCCAGATCCAGGATTGGATAGCCCTGCTCAAGAAGACTGCCAGGAATCAAGTTAGAGAATCTAATGAAATGAAATCTAATGAATCATCTTCATTAAATCAATGCATTTTCCAGGTCCATTTTTCAGTGATACCATCAAGTGAAGTGAAATGTCCTAAAAGTGTTACAATAGGTTACAAATGAGAAGTGGCCATTTGGTGCATCTGTTTTGCATTTGGCTAGGACCTGTAAATAAAACCAGTATACATAGCAGGTTGAATCTGCAGAAATACATGTTAGTCAGGTGAAGCATTTCCCCTCATGCTGCAGATCAAAGGGTGCAGCTCACAAGTTGGGAGTCATAACCTTAGTTAAGGTGTCATTTTGGCTCACTCCTAGAAAACGCCTTCTCAGATCTTTGCAGGGGGGCCTATGGTGTGAGCTGTTCGTAGTGGCACCTAAGGCATAGCTGGTCAGATTGAAATCAGAATGCCATTACCTCATATACAAAGAACTTGAAGGGTTTTTTACAGCATGTAGAAGGTGGGAGACCCTGGCACAGAGAATTCACTACTTTTTTGCTGAGTGTCTGGGAGGTGAGCTGGCTCCTTCCTCACTATGCAGGTGGTTAGTGCCCTGTCAGGGTGTCGGAGAGCCCAGCCCCCCTATCCACAGTGTGTTCAGCTGGCACCACTGCTCCTCTCCAGAAAGCTTTCTACTTGGGTTTATTTCTGCACCATCTGCTTGATGTCTAGTTCATGTTACTTTCCTGACTAATGACGTTACTCCCTATTACCTGCTAGCCTTAAGTAAAGAGAAGGGGGAGAGGGTTATCCTATAGCGAAATGGGAGACCCATGTCAATATCCAGTTGCAGGCCTTATTGGCTGAGAAATGCCAGAAAGCATTTCAGATACCTGTTGCCTGCAACTACAGCACATTAGTGGCTAGCTTTTAAAGAGACATTCAACTGATATCTGTGACTTGAATTATTCCTTGTTTCTATTGAGTATGATAGCTTTATATGCTTGTGTTTAATCAATAGTTGGGATCCTTACAAGGAATGATGAACAGCTGTTATAAAGATGTAAAGCAGCTTCCAGTGTGATTCATTAGCTGTACTTATGTTGGCTTAACTGTCAAATTAATTGGAATACTCATTCATGCTTAGAAGTGTTACACATGTCCTCGTGATTTTTAACTTTAGAGACAGGATCCTGGAACATGTACCTACAGTGAGTGATATGCTGAATGGCCTGGTAAAGCTTGTGGAACTCTTTAAGGAACTTATTTTGATCTGTTTTTTTGTGGTAGTAGATGGTAGCCTGACTCACTGAAAATCTGTAAAGGAAGCTTGTGGGGTTCTGATATTGCATTATAGATTGGCCTCAGAACTTTAAAAGTTCTCAGGTATATGAGGTGTTGGATTTTCCTGAACTGTAGCTGTCTGATGTTCAGCATTAGTGCTGAAGATAAGGAAGAAAAAAACACTGGCGTCTTCTTGGAGTAAACCTGGGTCACACTGCCAGGGGTGCCCTTTGGATTGGTTTGAGGTGCCATGCAGGTGCCAGCTGTGGATATTCAACCACCAATGAAAAATGGTTTTATAGTGGAGACTGGAAGAGCATTTCACCAGTCACTAATACAGGAGTTAGCTCAAACCAGGAGCAGCAAGCCATTTATTATGAATACATAAATTGCTTTTAAGTTTAACCTTGGTACTATTGGCATTTGTACATAAACTGGCACTTGATGGAGTAAGGAATTCCTCTTAACTCCAAGAGGAAAGGGGGGGGGGGGTGGAGCTTAAACATTTGCAGACATGGCTATCAGACTTAATGAAATTTCTCCCTTTGTCAAGTGTTATAAAACATCAGCAATAGCCATCTCCTGTTGCTGCATCTTGGCACACCTAGCATGTTTAGTTTGTAAATCAGGGGCTGACTGTTCACCACACCAGCACTGGATCAGGTAGAAAGGTCCTGTGCTGGTCTGTCTCAACCCTGTGACACGTGCAAGGGGCGCACAGCTCTGATTAACCATGGTGCAGCATGAAACGGACCAGTTTCTTTACTGAGTCAATTTAGCCCCCTTTCATGTTTCTCTAGTTGTTGGTAACCAAAATGAGACTGATGAAGCCTTCATGGGGTAAAGGTTAAGTACCGATGGCTTGTCTCAGCTGAGCTCTGTGGCTCAATCTCTCTGTTCCAAGTTTGCTTATCAACAGGTTACTGATGAACAAGACATCTCCAGTAAAGGCATCTCAGAGGAATTGTTGGTACACTTGTGCCTTTGTTGGATATTTTTCTCATTTATTTATTTGTGCTTTGGTCAGTAAGCAGGTTAAATAAGTCCTCTCTACCTGACTCTCAGTCTTAAGCCTGTGTCCAAGGCTGATCTGTTTTCTGTGCTTTAATTATGTACTTGGATGGAGTCGTAAGATAAGGATGTTGCTCCTAACACAAGCTTCTAGAGCTTGTCCATATTTTCTTACAGGCAAAACATAATCTGCCTCAAATACTTAGAAAAACGCCCCTTTAGACTTCTGCCCGAACAGTGTGAAGTGGAGAAGATTTAGAGATGATGGGGCAGTGCTTCTCTAAATATGATAAAGCTGTAGGAAAGGAGTGGACAGTCTTCTCCAGTGTCCCCTTCTCTACTCTGCTGGATGACTTGTTCAGCTGTTGTATAGAGGTAACAAATTTCTGGTCTGGGTTTCTCTTTTAACCAAGGCGTTTATTTATCCGTGATATGTTTGCTCTGGTACTCTTGGCATATTTGCTGCCTAACTCCTCCTCCCCCCCGTCCTTGTCTCCTGCAGCCGTACTACGCTAACCGGCCGGCCATGCCCAACAGCGCCACCCGTGTGCCGCCCAGCAGCGCGCCTCGGGCCGTGGGCCCCCACGTCTATCCGACTGGCTCCCAGATGATGATGCTCCCACCACAGCAAATCCCCTTCCCCAACCAGCAGGGCGCTGCCTACTTCATCCAGTCGGGACAGGTGAACACCCGCTCTGCCTTTCCACTGTGTCACAGCAGCAGCTACTGTACCGGCAAGGGGTGGGGGTGTGTGAGGCGAGCTTCCCTACCCCACCAACTTCATGGTAGCCCCAGAAATAAAAAGCAACGCTGATCAGCTGTTCACCTGTCCTGCCACCAACCAGACAGCCTCAGAGCATATCGAAACTCGAGCAGCAGTTCACAAGGTTTAGATGGTATCTTAAACCGTGCAATGGCAATGTTGAGATATTGGTAACCGGGCGGGGAAAAAAATGAATTAAGACGATTCTTTTTATTTGCAAGTATTGTTAGGGTAAAACCTAATTTTAGAAGAAAAATGAGTCTACAGCTGTTTCCGAAGAGTACGAAGTGAAACTTTTGTAGTTTTAATGCTTATGCTGTTTTGCTTCATTTGAGTTTTAATTACTGAAGTGCATTTTTAGATTTTGTTCACCAGTAAGAAACTTACCTGCCTGCAGGGTGATATAGCATTTTTGGTTTAATTTGCTCATTACACCAACTGCATTGTCTTTTTATAGGAATTTATGAGGCAGGAATATGTGCAATTCAGATTTATATATATAATATATATGTTTATAGAATTTAGTGAGTTTTGTATTCGTAAAGAAATTCACATATGAAACTCCTGGAATTTTTTTGAATCTCTGTGCTTTAAGTCCAGAAAAACAAAAATAAGGAATTCAAATTTAACCCACTAATTCTGATTAGGTTCCACAAAGTGGAGGTCTGTAACCCCAGGGGGAGACTTACCTCCCCATGCAGAACAAGTGTCAGCCTGGAGGCTGCTATTAGGTCTCCAGGTTGTTAGCTGACCAGTAACTGCGGTTTACGGTGCGTGTACATGGTCGTCCGACTGCTCCAGGGGTCAGCTAACTGGAGGTTTTTACTAAATGTGCACATATAGAAGCACGTACAGTCTGGCCCCTTATTGTATAGAGTTATAGGATAGTTTCTTTTTTGCTGAGTCGAGTTCCAGTTCAGTGGTGTTGTACTGACACAATAGGCCATGCCCCACTGCTGGCCTGTCCAGGGCTTTCTTCATTGTACTATGGTTCAGTTCAGCCGGGGGGAGTGTGCCGGCTCAGACGACAGTTGCCTATTCTCTCTGTGGAGCAGAGCTCGTGCCGGACCGGACCCACTGCACCCTGTCACCTGGATCCTGGCAGTCCAAGGCCTGTTCATTTCCAAGATTGCAGTTTTGCTTAGTTGTCTGGTGTTGGCTAAGTGTTTTGACTTTGTAACGGAAAGACTTCATGTATTCAGTGGCTGCTCTACTGCTTTTTCAGATATTTGGAGGTCACAGAAGAGTGTGGGTGTTCAGTTTCTGTGTGGACTTTGCATGTTCTGCTGCATTCACTTGAGTGTTCTGGTGACCACCAGTTTCCCGAAGGCAGGCAGGCTAGGTTTAATTGGATAAACTAAATTGCCTCTTGTCAGGGCAAGGGTTTCAATGGGTTTTTGTTCTTGGAAAGCTTGCTTCTAGTCTAAGCTCTACTGGCTGTGGGACTACAGTAAAAATCAGTCAAATCAATATGATTAGCTTAATGGCCTCCTCTTTATGTCTCATGATTCTCTGGTATGGAGGATGCTTGTATTTCTAGTAAGTTGGAAAGTAGAAGGATCAGGAACCAGTTCTGATTGGTGTTGCTTTTTTCTTGGGGTATTAACCAAATCATTGAAAATGGTACTGGCTGCTGAGAGGGGTTTTTGCACACAAACTCATTACACTCATTTACTGTATTTTCTGATTGAGAACCCAGTGTTAATCTTTCTCATCTTCTCAACAGTACCGGCCGCAGTACGTGACCGCAACGCAGCCTTATCCAGTGGCCCCCGGGACACCAGGCTTCTACCCAGGATCCAGCCCTGCAGAATATGGTACTTATGGTAAGAGGCTCTGTCTGGGCCTCACACATAGATCAGATCAGAACTGCTGGGCACGGAATGCGGTGCAATGATGCAAAGGGATGGATTTTATTGACCTGGCATTCCTACTTGTGGCAGATTTGTAAAAAAAAAACAATCTGGGTGAAATCTTGAAAAATTGCAATATCCCAGAAACTGCACTCCTTCATGTAAGACTTACCCTCCAGGTGGTAAGGGCATCAGCACATGCCAAGCTCATCCTGTTAATGGGACCTGTCATCAGTCAAATTAAATGTGCTTTAGGTGCTCATGCATGACAAATCTTTACAAAGAACAGGTCTGAAGCTAGAACTAGACTGACTTGGGAACTGAAAGGAGCACCTGGTCAGCACTGCTTCATCCTGTAAGCTAAAGCTCAGTCACTTCAATAAACCTCCCTTCAGTTCCCTGCCCACAGTTTTGTTTTCCGTTTTTATTTCTATTTAATTATGCAGATATTTGTTGCCATCATTGCTGTCATTTGACATGTGCACATGCTCTTAGGGGCTGATGAGAAACACAGACAGGTCAAACTTCTGCAATCCTCTATAGTTCAAATATACATTTAACCAACTAGGCTCGGGTTTTTAGCTTGTTAGTGTTGATGCATCAGGTTTCAAAATTACATTGTGTGGTGTGGTGACAGCTAGGTAAGATAAGACTCCAGCTGCACCTTGCTTTTACCACTTGTAGGCTGCTGGTCAGTCAACTTTAATGCCAAACCAACCTTTTGGGTGGTTAGGAATTTTTCTTGTGGTGCACTCAAAATAATAGATACATAAAGGATAGAAAAAATCATGAATAACATACACAATTCATATACAAATACAATACATTACAGTGAAGATACAAATGTTTTTATTGGTTAGTAATGCAGAATACTACCCTAGCTGTCTGGAATTTCATAAAGGGCTCATGCAAAATTACCAAGACATTTATATCGGTGTTGAGTTCAGATCTTTTGAGACTACTGGTTACAAGTAACATGTTACAGACAATTGGAATTAGAATAACATTTCTACTTAACCTTTGTGCGTGAGCCTGCAAGCGTCAGTCCTGAAATGGCTTGTGCACTGTCCTGTGTTCAGTGGTGCCGCAGGCGTTTGGTAGAGTAGGTAAAGCCATTACAGGTAGAGCCTGTGTCATGCATAGGGAGAAGCTCAGTAGGCCTGTTTATTTTACATGTTTTTTCAATCCTCGTTCCCACACAGACTTAAACCATCCCCATGCTTTCTTTTAAAAACATTTTTTTATGGTTTGTGGTAGGTAGATACAAAGGAGGGTGAAGTCTCTGAGTGTCTTGCAGACTCCTCTGCCTGTGTGATGTGATGTGATTTCGCCCCAGTCGTTGTGCGTCACTGGGCTGAAGGGAGCTCTTTTCCAGAGCCGGCGTGTAGTAGTGGAAAAGTGACGCGGTCTCGTTGGTTTGAATCACAAGGACAGGGAGGGCTGTGTAACTGTGTTCCTCTTGGCAGGGCCCCAACTAAGAGTGTGGTCAGCAGCAGTAGTCACAAGGATGTTCCCGTGGCTCAATGTTAGAAATTATTTCCGATTTAAATATAAATCGGTTTTCAAATGTTTCTGGAACTGCAGTATAAAAGACTCTTAAGAGCTCAGGCTTATTAGATTATTTTTGATCTGGGGGTGGGGTTTATTGTCCAGCTCGGCTTGGAGCCGGGAGTCGTACTTCTCCGGTACACGACGGCGGGAGTGGTGAGTGAGCCAAGGGTGAGTCCCCTTCTAGTGTTTTGGCCAAGTCTTACTCCTGTGTCCGTGGCTGCCAGGCGCTTGGCACTCGGACCCGCTTTCCCTTCAGGCGTGGCTGGGCTCTGTTAATATCCGTAGGTCCCACCTTAATTGTGACTAAAATGGTAATTAAGGTGAGGAAAAGACACTGCAATTCAATTTAAAATTTAGTTTGGTTAGTTCCCAGAAAAGATTAGTATTGTAAATGCTGTGTAGAGTTGCAGAGGGTTTATGATGGATATTAAAGCACTGGCTGGTTGGCAATCCCGGAGTCTGTGCCCAGAATGGAATGTGGAGAAGGGAATTTTCGCCAGTATGATGGGTGTGGTCTGGATTCCCGAGTCCCGAGCTGTCTAGGGCTGGAGCTGGAGGAGTTCGCCCTCCCTCTCTGTCTGTGCTCCGCTGCACGGCCAGAGCCTGGCTCATTTTCTCCGCACGCGAGAGAGAGCAGTGGCGGTGGGACAGATCTGGGGAGAAAGCAGCAGCAGCCCTTTCCCTGATGGAGAGCCTCTGCTCGTGCCGCATTACTGTGCGTAGGAGCTGCTGTCTCGACAGAGCAGAGCAGGGTTGAAGTCTGTTGGGAAGATGTTGGTACGGATCCCCAAGTAGAGTGAAGGATCAGTCAGACTTAGACACATAATCATCCAGTTATTTGATATCTGAAGACTTTTGCTTTTGTGTGCCTAAATGCATTTTTAACTCCTGTTTTTTTGCCTCTGAGTGAAGAAGTAAGAATGGAGTTGGCCATTTTGTGAGTCTTTTTCTCTATTTGTTTATCAGGATCTCAAAGGTATCTTGGTATGCCCTGTGAGAACTTGGATAGTTACTCTTAATTTTAATCAAAAGACAAGCTGATATGCTCACGACTCTAATGCCATGTTGGATCCTGTGGTGTACCGGTGAAAAGAAACAGCATGCGATCAGTAGGTGGCAGTAGAGGCTTTTTTGTGCTGCCAGGGGATTTCACCAGACCCCCCATGTATGTTGTGGCTCTATTTCTACATGTAGGTTATGCTGTAAGCATCTTGACTAAGGGCTATAGAGGATATAGCCTTTCCAGTTGAATCGATCAGCATAGTGAGACTCTTATTTTTCCATCGATCCATCTAATTAATAATTAAATAACAAGCAACCTGTGGTCGAATCTGGCAGTTCATTGAATGAAAAAGCCTGTAGGCTTCATGTCCTTTATTTAGATGGAATGTGCTTTCCTGGGCTTAGGAAAGTTATCATGACTCTGGTTTCTGGAGTGACAGCAAGCTCTTAATGACTGAGTTAATTATGGATGCAGTTGGCCTAGTAAGTTATTTCCTCCCTGGATCTGGGAATTCCTGGGTTAGCGGGGTAGTGTTGATGATTTGCATAGGGCAGGCCTGGCCTACTCTAATTTGTAATTTACCGATCCTGGTGCAAGTTGGGTAGTTTCCCCATTGGAGTGACCGGTTTGTTACGTGAGCTGTGGGAAGATCAGCCTTGCCGTAGCCAGGTGTATTACTCGGGTGTGGAATTTCGCATGTGAGACTCCTTGGCTGTCAGCAGGGGCCGTTCCCTGCCCCCAGCCTGGCCTTTGTTTCTATTTTAGCACACAAATCACTCTGTGGCATGGCACAGCAACTGGGGGGTTTGTTTTGTGTGGGGAGAGAAATGCAAAGATGCGGAGATAAATCATCTGAGTCATGAAGTCAGCGTTTCTGCAGTTGGAGTATTCATACAGACCTGAAGTCTGCAGGTCTAGCTCAGAAGGCTGAGGGGAATGACAGACGATGCTTGTTTTCTAGGAAGCTTAATTTGTTGGAATGTGGTCTTGATGAGCTACAGGCTCTGTTGTGAAGGCCTTTGCTGCTCATAGTTTAAAAATAACCCAAGCATGGAGTATTGTGGGTCCTGCTTTAAAAAGGAAGCTAAAATTCATGTGGGCCTGACCTGACAGCTTGTGAATTATTTTGATAAATCTGCTTTGCTACAGTGCTTAGGATGGGAGGTTTTAAGGTGCTGCATTTCCCTTGGCTAGTTTTGGGTTTGGTTTTTTTTTCCTTAATTCCCTTTTGTTGAGGTTTAAAGCCCCAGGAGCCAGATGACTGAGTCCCAGACCTTCTAGTCACTTACAGCGAGGGTTGTGATGAGGGCTGCACGGTTTTGATATATTGAATCATTTCATTCTGTGGTCACGTTCTGTGATTGAGCCACAGTCCACTTGCTTGTCATACTGGGGAATGGTAATTCTGATCCAGAGGAAAGATCACCACCCACCAGCAGCAACTGGCCTTCCTTAGTAGTCTCTCACCCCAGTATTTTCCAGGCCCAACCTTGCTTGGCATCCAGGATCTGAGCAGACCAGACTGTGTAGAAGGTGGTAATATTTCTGTCAGGGCCGGCAACCAGCGACTGCTGAAGGGATTTAGAGCTTCTGGTCAAAGGTTAACTGTCAGCCTGATGGCAGGGAGTCATTTCGCTCCTCTTCCTCCCCCTGTTTTTATCCCCTCTACCCTCTTCTGTCCCCATTTTCTTTTTCTCTGGTCTTCCTTCTCTTTCCATCCCTCTCCCTCCCTCTCCGTTGGTTCACATGGAGTGGTTTATGACTATATTTAGTCTGTGCTCTTCCAAGTCAACAATGCAGGCACAGTAATGTGAGTCAGAGCTGAAATGCGTTTCACAGCAGCCATTGCAGAGTGAGAGGGAGAGAAAGGGGAGAGGAGAAAGGTGAATCGGCAGGAAATGGATTGATCCACCTGCTTCACACCAAGGGAAGGTAAGAGTGTGAGAGGTCACGCAGGGCCACTTGCATTTTTTTCCTGTTTTATTCATTTGTGTCCAACCTCCCCCCCCTTCCTTTACAAAGTGAGACTGCTGATTGCTGCTGCGTCTGGCTCTGCCTGGCTGTAGCGATGGCGTTTTCAAATTGTCGCAGTGCTTGGCTTTGAAAGTGGAAGACTATCTAGCTAAAGAGCAGCGTCTTTTTATTTGTCTCCCACATGTTTCCTTGTTTGTACCTCATCCTCACTCTTGTTCTCCTGTGGTTGATCATCCAGTGTTTTGAGTGGGGTTTACATGCCCCCCCACCCTCCTGCTGGGGTCTGTGGTGACTGGGGTGGGCATGACAGAGTGGGGGGGTATTGAATCCAAAGGTCTCCGCAGGAATGTAGAATATAATTATTAAGAATTATAGATTAGAATATGGCATTTCTGTAGGCACAATTTCCCCCTTGTTGCTTTTAAAATATTTTGTCCTATGAAAAGTGACTTTCACCCTCCATTAACATTCCTTAAGTAATTGAGCCAAGATCCTTATGAATTAAGAGAAAGCTTGTGGTCAAGAGAAGTACAGAAGTGTTCAATTTAAACAGTTGCTGTTTTAAGGATATAAGCGTCTTAATGAGCAAATTGCCAGTTTCATGGGTACAATCACACCATGTCTTGCAAATCATTGATCATTGATCATTATGATCTTTGTTTTGTGAAGAAACAGTTTTGGGTTGATTTGTAGCAGAGTTTGTGTTTGAAGCTTTGCAATAGTGTGAGCTGGAGCCAGGTGTCATTGCAATGATCATGGGGATGGTCTTCCTTATTCGGGGGTGGGTGTATGGATTGGGATGGATCAATATCAAACACGTGCCTCATCTCGCCTAAGAGTTTGAATTTGTTGATTAGGATGTGAAGGTACCTGAGCGAGTCTTGTAGATAAGATTATTAATGTGGCTGTGCCTGTGTGGGTTCGAGTAAAAAGGTATGTGTTCTGAAATGTTGCCCTGGTCAAAATCTCATGCTTAAATAAGATGACTTTGCCTTCAGGTCTTTTAAAGTTCTTTGGATTTCTGATAAAGGACCTGTGCAGAGGAGATAGTTTGAAGGACAGAACTGAAATGTCTGTGCGCAACTGAAGACAATTTCTTCTCCTGCTGCACTGGCTCGATCATTCACCAAGTGCACGTTTCTGAACCTCAGCAGGATTCCACCAGACAACACGGGACAGGGATGTGCACACTAGAACTACTGTACAGCAGTACAGTATTTGTTCCTCTTATTTCTGTAGTACCTGTGAAGGCAAAGTGCATCAATTGCTAAATAAGTTTTTTTTTTCCCTTTGCAGCTGGAGCTTATTACCCAGCCCAGGGTGTGTCACAGTATCCCCCCACTGTGCAGGCCTCAACCGTCATGATGAATCCTGGCCCTGGCCAGCAGGCCCCCCCGAAACGGGAACGCAAGCAGGTACTGCAGTCAAAAATCTGGCTCCTCTATCGCTCGTTTGGACATGGTACTGCCTGTGGCCATCGTGTGTAACTGTAGTGCTGACCTGTTGCTGGTGGGGGTGAGCCGGCTATCAGGAGCAGGAGGTTTGGGTTCATTCCAGTCCATTCAAAGCCTGGTCATGTCTGTTAGGGCTAGATGAGGCGTCTCTTGGTTCCTGAGAGTGCTTCTGGTCCTTCTGTGTCCTGTGCTAATCCTGAATCACAGAGGGTCGGTTAACATGGTTGCATAATGATGTGACAGTTTTGCCCAGCTGGCTTAAGGCTCTTGGGTTTGATTCTGGCTTGGGCGCCATTCTGTGTGGAGTGAATTTCGATGCTTTCGAAAGATGCTTGCAAGGTTAATAGGTTATGCTTATTATGGTTATAATCTAAATTGTCGTGAGTTGCCATGACCTCACCCAGGACTAGGTGGCTTTCTGAGGATGGATGCATCTTAACTGGGGGATTCAGAATACAAATGTGATAGGTGCAGAGGGTTGAAAAACTGGTTTAACTTAATTTGAGCTTTCCTCAATATGCCAATATCTTCTGTTATTACTTCCACCTGGAGCCTCCGCTAAATTAATATTGTGTTTTCTAAATAGTTTTCAGTATTTGTTTAGATTAACTGGAGCAAAGACAATACCCGACTGTGGGAAGGTTGTGAGGAGCCATAGTGAAGTAGCTAATAACCCATGTCTGTGCTGTTAGCTTTCTCGTACTACTATAGGACAGGTATGTGTGAACAGTTAATTTATGTGTGTGTAAGCTAGAATTCATTTTTCTTCCAGCTGAGTGGTGAGTTGTAGAAAGTGCCACTCTGCTGTAAATGGACTCCGGATTGCAAGCCTTTGATGGAAATAGATCAGAACCCTTTTATATCAAATGTCTTCTATTTGACACTTTTGTCTTAATTTCTGCTCCTCTTCCTTTTGAGTGTGGTGCACCAGATTACACTCAATGAATGCTGTGCAGTTTCTGTGTATAGGATTTTAAGGTGCTTATAAAGATATAATCACTGTGAGAAATAAAAATATAACTAGTTAAATTTCTAAGTGTTCTTGGTACCATTGTTACCCCCTTAACATTAAGTGTGTCCTAATGGTGCACAGGTCATTGCTGTGTCATGTCGGTAAGGTGGAAGTTGAAATGCAAAAACCTTTCTTATATAGATTAATTATACTGTTTGTCAGGAATATTAGCTGTAAGCAAATGCAATTGCAAGCATACCTTTTTTAACATTGCCATCAGAGCTGCCAATGCTATAGCATGCTCCAATCTGTCACAAAATCATATGAGCTGCAGCTATCTTCCTTACTCTACGAACCAAACCCTAGGACTAGAAAATGAAGTAGTAAATCACATTACTAGCCTTTCTGGCTAGCTTCTGTTTTTTGTAACTCAGGTTCTTAAGCTCAAATCTTGTTCACTTATTGAACAGCAGTGGTCGACTTTGTGTTCCTTACCTGGATATGCAGATGAAACCATGAAAGGATTGTCTCGGTACTGCAATTGATGTGATGTGGGAATGTTTTACGGAGCACGGATCTGGGTGCTGGACTAACGAGGAGTAGGAGTTATTTAAACAAGAACCAAATTCCCCACAAGATACGCATGCGTTGGATTTAAAACATCTGCCTACATTTTTTACAGCTGAGTCTTCTGCCACATTAAAAATTGGAAAGGAAGTCTACCTCCTGTTACACTTCGATATGAAATTTCAGATGGGATAATGTATTTTTCTGTGCAGTTGTGACTTGTTTACACAAACTAAGGGTCATTGTGCTGTGAACATACAAGCTCAAAACTGAATACCCGTTGCACAGTGTGACCCTGCATTTATTTACTTGGTCTAAATGCAGCACTTTAGATAGATAGACTATGAATGAATGAATACCTGTTTTCTTCTCTTGAATGTGATTGTTTTCACTATTTCCTTTAAGGTAGTGCAATAATTGTAAGTCAAGTTGTTTTTTTAATTTACATTTCTGCTTAGGTTAGGCTTGTTCCTCCTACAAATTCTTTGGCTTCTTTTTGGGCTTTTTTGGAAGTAATTTTGTGAAAGAGCTCCCTCTTAGTTTGCAATCGCAACACTTCTGGGTCCATTTCCAAATTTAGCAATGGATTTTCAGCCGTGCAGGGGCACCGCGAGTGGACTTTGGATGCCAAAAGATCGCTTTTGTCTTGTTTGTGCCGTCATGCTGTAGCAGCGACTGTCTACACTAATATAGAATACAGGACTGAAATCTTTCTTTCTGCGTTTGGACGTAATCCCTGGACGATTTTTTCAGAGGAGGAATGGAAAATGCAAGTCAGGCTGTGGACGCTGCGCAGCAGTGTGAAGAGTGAGTCATCGTATTCGCAGAGAAGAAGGCCTGCTTTATTTCCTACGGTGAGAGAAGAGGAAAGCGACAGAGCACCCCAGCTCTGCTGTGGATCGTGGAAATGTTAAGATCGAAGCAGGATGTGTCCCAGGGGAGGGCTGGGCCTCTGTTTTGGTGGAGCTGAGCTGTGTTACACCACGTACCTGGTCATAAAAGAAGATCGCAGACGGTTTTTGTAATTTTTTTTGTTTTCCCGCTTAGTCTTGGCTGCCTTCCAGAAAAGTGAAGGCCATGTCAGCACAGCCAGTCTCAATCCACGTGGCTCTTAATCTTTTTCTCTGTCGCACTCTCTCCGTCACTTACTCTCTCCGCTGCTTTGATACCGGAAGCCTGCTGCAGCGCTGAGCCTGGTAGGATTCCGTCTTGCCTGTCTTTGCATGGACAGAAAAAAACACTTTTTTAACATGCTTGCCTCCCCGAGAGGGAGCGCGTATTAGCCTTGCTTAGCTTGAAAACGGTGCGTGGGTGAAGTAGCCAGAGATTTGGCATTCCAGAGCTAGTCTGTCTGGGGGGGCGGCGTGCAGGCAGGGGTTGCGAAACTGCGTTCACTGGCACAGGAAGGGGCCTAACCACCGCTCAGCCAATCCCAAGATGCACTGCAAGGCCTGCAAAAGCTGCCGTTTTAATATACAAACACCACTTTTTTCTGCCTAAGATTTTGTATTGGTGGTAGTATGGTCCTGTTGGGAATAAGACATCTGCTTCATCACAGAAGAACTGACTTTTTTCAGCTGATGGATTTTTCTCTGCATCTTTTCTCCTGCTGTAGTGTAGTGCATGCATTTTTCTAGCGCAGCGAAGATGAGTGCAGGCTTTGGAGCTCTTGCAGAGGTCTTGTACAGACATCTGTACACAAATTGCAAACAAGGTTCAGTTGTTCCCTCTTCCATCTCCCAACAACAAGGTTGGAACAAAATTATCAGGAAAGATAATTTTTTGATGTCATATAGCCATAAAAGTTATGTAGCAACCAGTGAATTAAAAGCATCCTTGTTAAGGCAATTTTAAAAACTTTTAACATAATTGAAAACACCTGTTTTGCTCTGCAAGTTAGTTAACTGAGTGCAATAATGCTACCAGCTCACATTGTGAAACATAGCTAGCCTAGTGTATTGTATGTTTTCAGCAGTTGTGAGGACCGGACATCTAGTACAGTAAGAGAAAATATTTTTCTATATGCATTCTTCTTTCCTCTGTCAGATTTTTTAGTAAGAGACTTTTCCAAGCTTCAGGCAAGAAGCTCTGTAGTACATTACTCACCAAAGTCATTGTCTCTCCACACATCCTAAAATCACTTAATAGGTTAGTAAGTGTTTTACATCATGAGACAATGGCACTTTAACATTGCCCAGTATTAGTGTTTTGTATCGCTGGATAGTATAAAAGTCTCAGCATGGAATTCATCACTTGAGGACTTGATCTTCCTGTTTAATAATAATGTATACATTATTACTGAGGAGCAGAGGACCCTTTTGAAGACTTTTTATATTACCGCAGTCATGTTTCCGATTGAAGTCACAGATTGGAGAGAAAAAAGCTTCCTGACAGCCAGAAACTTCACTCAACGCAAAGAAAGCTGTACCTGTTTTTTTTAAATTGCACTTTTGTGCAGGTGTTTTGCAACTATGATTTCTATTCAAGCTACACTCCATAAATCAGTTTATGCCAGTGTTGAATACAATATCGCACGGAAACAAGTGTACATGCTGGTAGTACATCCGGTTCAGACTGCATACAATGCTTTTCCTTCTCTTTCATTACCGAGGAAGTTTAATTTTGACTCGGCAATCTCCTATGCTATAATTTTAACATTAATTCTGGAGTAATTTTGGTTTGTGGAAACTTATGTCCCTGTAAAAAGGATAATCCTTTTCTATAAATGTTTATTTGTATGAATTGTTTTCAGGAAGTGGGGCATATCTGTGAAGAAAGTTTCAAAGGAAAGTAGATTACTGGACTGCTAGTTGAAAGAGCTTGCTCTGTGGTGCAGACCTGTTAGGACTGAAATCTGAATATGCTCATCTGTCATGGGTGAAAGACAATGCGTGGTTCTTTTCACATTTTAAACTGTTTGATTTGCTTATCACAGTAATTAGTTTTAACTAGTTTACTGTATTATAACTAAAGAGCAGTAAAGCACTTTAATAATGATAAAATGCCAGTGTATTTCCACAAACTGTGGAAAGTATGGTATAGAAGGACGGGGGAAACCTCTGTATTGCAATGAAGATTTTCATATGGCCTGCTGTGACCCTGTTTGAGCTGAGCAAGGACTAAATTACTGATGTTAAGGTCCACACCACAGCGTTGCCTTGGCTTCAGCACCAGTGAAGTGTCGCATGGTTGTTGAAGTTTGTGGACTTGCCTTCAAAGTCTTGTCACTGGAAATGGCTAGGTGGCTAGGTAGACATGAGCGGATACGTGGAGCGGCTGTCTCCACATTGATGCCACAGGCCCCCTCCTGCCGCTCCACTGTGCATCCAAGACAAGTGTGTGATGCATGTTCATCTCTGCTGTTCCCTTTGTTGTGCACACAGATTAGAATAAGAGACCCCAACCAGGGAGGCCGAGACATCACGGAGGAGATCATGTCAGGAGGCAGGACGACTTCCACACCCACTCCTCCCCAGGTAAGGGGCAGCTTTTTAGAACTAAAATTTCATATTCTTGCATTCTTGATCTCGTGTGATTTTGTAAGGCTACACAGGCAGCATTAAAAACATCTGTTGCACATGGAGATAAAATATTAGTTCAGGCACATAACTGTGTTGAATACAAGTAAAATATACTTTTTGTTTTTGTCTTCCTCAGTCAGTAGTCTCGGGATCTGAGGGTGGAAATGCAGCCCAAGCTAATGGAGAAAACATTGCGCCTGTTTCCGTGGTGATCCGACCAGGTGAGAGGGGTGAGGGCAGGTGTTGGGGAGCCTTTGGCTGTGCTGTTGGGGGTTAGTGAACAGTGCAGAGCTGTCTGATTGGGGATCAGCTATCTTCTGGAATCGTTGTGTAGCTGGCGGCCTACTGAACTGTGGTTTAAATATGAAATGATTGCTGCTCATTTGCAGACAAAAACCACAAGGCAATTTGACCTCTACTTGTATTTTCTGTATTTTAATATATTAAATCACTGGGTGGTTAAAATAGTGCAAAATAGTTTTACATAAGCTGTTTTACTGTAGGAATGCATTCATACAAAACAAAGAGTTTCATTGGCAAAGTCTATTAGTAGTAATGTGCTTGTGCTGGGGATTCTTTTTCCAGACAGTGTTCTTAACTTGGTTACATATTAGTTACTGATGTTTCTGCATTTACTTATACTATAAGGAGTTCAAAACAAGCCACACTCACAAATAGATTTTTTCCCCAAAAGTTGGGTGTGGATGTGTACCAAAAGGTACTAATTCTGAAGCTGTAGGCTTTCTCCCATGTACTAAAGAGGAAAAGCCATTGTCAGGAGCCAGCAATTCCAAAAGAAAATATTGATATGTCACCTCCAAAGAAGCAAAGATTAACACAGAAAATGACCTTTTCTTGATTGTCATTTCAGATGACAGACAAAAACCTGCTACTCCTGCTGCTACAACGATAGCCTCCAAGCCCAGAGAGCTGGGCAAGACTGAAGCAGCGTTGGCCCCTACGGCGCCCCCTGTTGCTGAGACTAAGTCAGATACGGACACTAAAGCAGCCCCCATAGACACCGCTCCCGAGCCTCTGGGGGAGACCCTGGCTGACACTACTGCCCCAACTGCCCTCCCCACCAGTGACCGTGTGGACTCTCCCCCTGTTACAAACACTGCAGCCCCTGATAATGTTCTGCACGAAGAGTACCCCGTCACCATGGAGACGGAGAAGAAAGTACAGGAGGAGGAAATGGAAATGGAGGTGGAGGTGGTGCACAAACCAGAGCAGAAAGCGACAGTGGCCACCCAACCCATTGAAACTGCCCCCCTTCTGGAAGACGCAGCCATGGAGCAGATTTCTGCAACCAATGGACTGAGCACAGCAGAGCCCGCTGTCCCCGAGGAGCTCCCTGCTGTATCCCAGAAGGCCCCTGCTGCCCCGGCCTGTGAGCCCCCTGTGGACTCGCCCATTGCTCAGCCTGAGGAGCTGAAACCGCTCGCCAATGGGCTCGCTGCTCCTAGCGCACAGTATCCCGAGGAGGCGCCTGAGGAAGCCCCCGAGTGTGACATTAGCCCCATCGCGGAGCCAGAGGTGGCTCAACCGCTGGAAGCTCCAGTTGTCGCAGCAACACCTGTGCCCCAGCTACCACCAACACAAGCTGAGGAGAGGGGAGACACCCCTCCGCCCCAGCCCAGCGTTGCACCTGGGGAGACTTCTGTGCAAGGTGAGGGTGGCTCCGGCAGTAGGTTGAGAGCTAATATCTAGCTGAGATGGCTTCCACTTGTTTGTAAGCTTTCTTAGATTCTTGTTTGTTGTGCATGTCACTGACTGTCGTGATGCTATGCTATCGTGTTACTGTCAGCCAGTAATGGCGACGTTCTGGCTTCAGAAGTAAGTCACCATGGAGGTTTCAGTGTGCAGTTCTGCTGTAGATTTTCAAGACAAAGACCATCAAACAGGACTCTTTGTTGCACAGCAGCTTGATTCGGGTGTTGACCTGTATAAACCATGTGCTCTATTTTATGCGTTTCTTAATTTGGACTACACCTGTGTAGAGATTAAGATGCTAATGTTTAACAATTATAACAGTTTAAATATTTAACCTGCAGCAGAACATGAGTGGACCTTCAAAAATGCAAATGTGAGCTGGTGGTGGTTTGTTCATGTATAGTTCATTCAGTGGTATGTTTTATTGGCTCTCCTTTCAATATGCTTTATAAATGGTGAGGATTGCTTTCGACCATAGTTTTTGTCCTGATTTAGTTTTGATTTCTGCAAGATTAAATATCTGCTCAGTCAGCAGTGTGCCAATTTATTCTTCAGGTTATTAAAATACTTTAAACAGGTGACACTACTTTCAGTGGCGAGTTCATTGATTGTTCACTTCAATGCTCCCAGAGAGTTGATAGTCTTATAAAAGACCCTAGAGGAGTGATCACTGAACTAAAATGTAGATTTGGCTTTTGAGAGGAAAGTGATGCTCTGTTCACTCCTGTGTTGCTCTGGTGCTGACCCAGCAGTGGTGTCTTGTTAGTGGCACAGTGTCTGATTGGGACTGGGGAGACTTGATGCACTACACTAATGAATTGCCTCTGTGCATTCTTGTAGAGTTCCAGCAGGCTGAACTGTTGCACTGCTTTGGATTTTGTACTGCGTTATATTTGGCAGCTTTCAGTTTATCTTTTAATTTCTAGTTACAAGGAGTACCAAGACTAATCTTCCATCAAATCCACAAGCTGATGACTTTGTGTGTAGGTTGCACCCTTGGGCCGATACTCTTCCAGTCTCACTTGTAAGCTTCACTGATATTGATTGCAACTTTTGTCACAGTGAGCATAGGAAAGCAGTCCTCTTTTGAGCCTCCTCCCTATTCTTTTCTACATCTTTTCCCATTTCTCCTTTTCCACTTTCCTTGATCCTACCTTTTCCTCTCACTCCTGGTTTGCTACCCTCCCAGTATATAGCATGTGACTGATGTCTTTCAGCTGCTGCTGTTTTGGTGCCAAAGAAGAAGAGGAAACTGAAGGATCTGAATAAAAAAGAGGCAGTGGGAGATCTCCTGGATGCGTTTAAGGAGGTGAGTGTTGTGGTGTCTAAGGTGCTATGTCAGCCCCCTTTATTCTGTTTTTTCTAAATGTATGCAGTCATTTCTGAGTTATATTGGTGATCTTCACTCTTCCACTGTTTCTCAGGACCAGGTGAAGGAGAATCGCCCTGAGCCAGAACAGGCACAGCAGGCTGTTGCCCCTCCTGAGAATGAGGCATCTCGCCCCTCCCATGCTGAAGAGACTGAGGAGACCTGGGAAGAGAAGGAAGATAAGCTGGACACGGAAAATATTGAACCTGAGCCTCTCAAACCTGGAGACCAGAAGTACCAGTACAAAGAAGGTAAGTGCCCATTCCATCTCTCCCTCAGGCCAGCCTACCAGGCACAGAGTTTTCTTTCTGCATCGATTCAACTGAATTTGTTAGTTGTCTGCTCCAGTGATGATCTCTTGTTAGTGCCATAGTGTCTGGGCCACTGACTTCTACTGATGGAGATGAGGTACTGAGGAGCTGCTGAACTACAACACGCTGTCAGTTTCTGCTGGCTATTGTTCAAAAGAGCTTAGCTATGTAACCTCTGCTGGCTGCTGGATAGAAATACATTTTGCAGGGCCTTTATCACTGTACTAAAAACTGCATACAATGTCTACAGTAACTTGAGACAGACGACTGTTGCCTTTCTCACGTTAACTCTTTTCCTCCTACAGAGCAATGGAAGCCCATTAATCCTGAGGAGAAGAAGAAATATGACCGAGAGTTCTTGCTGGGCTTCCAGTTTATTTGCGCTAGCATGCAGAAGCCTGAGGGCCTGCCGCACATCAGCGATGTTGTGCTGGACAAGGTAAGATACTGCCTGGACCTGCATCACAGTATAGTATCTTGGATCCCAAATATAAAGTTTCTGTTTGTATGTACATGAAGCCATTTACAGTGTACTATATCAGTTCTGAAATTTGTATGTGAGGAAAATGGCCTCCCAATAACACAGCTATGATCGAAATGTACAGTTCAGGCTATTGCTTACCTTCTACCATGTTGCTTCTGTAATAAACCTTTATTTCAGCAAGTGAACAGAACAGCATTATTTTAACCCAGCCATCTCTCCTACTCTCTCCGTCCAGGCCAACAAGACCCCTCTCCGCCCCCTGGACCCCAGCCGGTTGACAGGGATGAACTGTGGTCCTGACTTCACCCCCTCCTTTGCCAACTTGGGCAGGCAACCCATGGGGGGACGTGGCCCGGTGAGTCGCAGGGAGCATCCCTCTTCTAGGGGGCATCCTCTCTCCCAGCATGTGCCGACCCAGCTGTTCGGATTTGAAGAAGCTTCATGGTGTTACTGTGCATCACTACTCAAGACTACCAGACTTCCATAGCTAATGATTGTTATGGGGGCACAGTATTTATAATGCTTACAAACATGTGGGGGCCGTAGTGTGTGCTGTTACCACTTCCCCATAACCAGTAGCTGGTCCTGCATTATGTTCATGGTCTTTACTGCACTGTATACAACACAGATGCAACCCACTTTTAAAATGTTTCATATGTGCACACAAGTCTAGATATTAAACTTGATGATGGAAATGCCAAGTTTAATTTGACTTTGATCTAATTTTAGGTTAATTTCTCTATGCTAGCACCGAATTAGCATATCATCAACATTATCTGCACTTCTGCTTTATTTGTGATGCGTGGCACCTGACTGATTCCGCACACTAGCACTGAATAATACAGGGGTCTCTGACCCTGGTGCTGGAAACCACCAGTCCAGTAGGTATCTATACATCTAAAAATTGGGATTTACTATAAACTATTGATGAATTAAGCAAACCGTTTGCCCTCGAAGGCTGAAGGTACTTAAACCTTCTTCATTGAATACATTCTACAACATCTGTAAAAAAAGTTAAAACCTACTAGGCTGAGATTCTATAGGCCCCACAATATCACTGGTATAATCCTGAATGTTAACACATCTGAAGTCTTTCGATGGAAAAATGCATATGCAGTTGGCACATTTTCCTTTGGTCCTGGTGATTACTATCCGGTCAAGATGGAATGAAAGTTGCTCTGTGACTTTTTTGACTGGTCCCCTCTCCTTGCCCTGTTCACCAGCCCTCTGGAATGGGGCCACGCCGCTCTCAGCAGGGCCAAAGGAAAGAGCCACGAAAGATCATCGCCAGTGTGTCCCTCACCGATGACGTACAGCTCAACAAGGCAGAGAAGGCCTGGAAACCAGCTATGAAGAAGATAAGCAAGGAAAAGGAAGAGGATGAACCTGAGACTGCCAAGACGCAGGTACTTGAAGACCCTGGAAAAAGCCACTGTGTAGATGGGTTCACCAAACCTTGGCGATTTGGCCGTTCCTGTTAGTGCTTCTGTGTCTAGGCCACAAACTTATAGTGATGGAGAAGGTGGTCTAGCTTCCACTTGCTTTGAGTCAGAACCACTTACACATTGTTAAATACAAATTCTTTACCTTATTTCCACATTTTATTTCATATTGCAGTTAGCTCAAAATAGGTTGTTTTGCTCCTTGCCCCCCCTCTAACCCTTTGTCCTCTGTCTTCGCCACTTCTCCCTCTTAGGAGCTGTTCCGCAGGGTGCGCAGTATCCTGAATAAGCTGACTCCCCAGATGTTCCAACAGCTGATGAAGCAGGTGACAGAGCTGACTATTGACACAGAGGAGCGCCTCAAGGGTGTAATCGACCTGATCTTCGAGAAGGCCATCTCTGAGCCCAACTTCTCTGTTGCATATGCCAACATGTGCCGCTGCCTTATTGCGGTGAGTGAAGGGAAAAGTAGTGATGCTTGTGTGGGGTGTTAGCTCCTGGTGCTGCTCCCCTGATGATCCGTTGTTTAGTTCCATACTGTCTGGGCCACTGGTCCGGAGCCACGCAAATCAGTGTTAATTACAGTACAGGCCTGCAAGGTTTCAGAAGTGCTTTAAAACCTTTTGGTTCATTTTGTTCTTGACTTCTAGTCTTCCCAATAATGTTGCATTTAGTCAGTAGGTCTTTTTTTATTTAGTCTCGGTCTTCATGCCAGAGGCTACATTCATCTCCCAGGCTGAGTTGACTGTTCATTTGTTCACCTTTTTGCCTGGGTTGGGGGTTAGAGGCTTGAGGAGGCTGATGAGATATTGCTGTAACGGCTCGCAGTGCTCTGGTGTCCTCTCAGTCCACAAAGACATGCCGACTAGGTCAATTGGCATCCCTGTTGAGGATGTAGAATCGCCTTCTACACTCCAGGTCACCATGACCTTACCAGGTGTAAGTGGCTTTCTGATGTACGGATGCTTGATGGGGGTGGGAAGCAGGGAGAGGCAGTACTTCAAGTTCATCCTTTTCATCTAGTTTTATTCTTTTACCTCTCCCTCCAGCTTAAAGTCCCCACAGCTGACAAGCCGCTGGTGACTGTGAATTTCCGCAAGCTGCTGCTGAACCGCTGCCAGAAAGAGTTTGAAAAGGACAAAGACGATGATGAAGTCTTCGAGAAGAAGCAGAAGGAGCTGGATGCAGCTTCAGTGGTAAGTAATCTCGGGAGGGCAGTGTTTCAGTTGGTTGCCTTATTTGATGCATAGATAGTTTACAAACAGGATGGTGAAAAAAGCTTGTCCTGTGACGATAAATGGCATAATTTAGTGGCTGTTTCTCATTGTCTCAGGTTATAGTTTGGGGGGGAAAAATGCTGAAAAATGTGTACTTGCCTGTACGGCCACACAGGTTCGTCTGCTAGTTTTTGAGATGGTGTGGTGCATTAATGAGCCAATACTTTTGTGTACTGCTTGTACTTGTATTGAAGTTTCCTGGGAAATGCAGTCTTTTACTGTTCCCTTAATTTCTACTGTTCAGAAAAAATAGGGAAAAGTATTCTGTACCCTTTTTTCATATCCTTAATTATTCAGTCTGACACTAAAGATACTTTGCAAAAGAGAACTAAAATGAGAAGAGTGAAGGTACATTATAACCACAGAAAATATGAGGCTGTAGTGAGACTGGCAGGAATGCCATTCAATGGTTTGTCGACAAACGCTGACATTTCGCAGATGTTATTAATTGAGAAGGAATCACTCTTTCTCTTCTGAGGTTAAGCGATATGCTTGCTTTTAAGATGGGTTTTAATCTGCTTTTTGCTCAGGCATGTTGGTGCTTGCTGACCTATTGTAATTGTACACCTGTGAACAGGTGTGTTGTGGAAGTGTGTAATGAAATGGTTCTCTCCAAACACGATTAGTTGCTTTGTCTAATTGGCCATTGTCTTGCTGAGGTACAACTGTTCTCTGCAAGGACTGGCTGTTCGGCAGGGTGCAGTTCTCAACACGCATTCCTACTTAGAGGCTTTCAGGTGTGATGAAAAGCCTGGCAGAGGGAAGCCATGTGAAGTTCTCATTTCTGGAGCAGTGTTTCTCTCCCTTTTCCCCCTTTTGCTGAGGCTAAAAACAAAACGGAAGAAAAAAGTCTTGAATTCAGCTAATATAACTGTGCCTTTCTGGGCTAGTCTGTAAGGTCTGTAAGAGACTGGTACCCTTCTGTGGGACTGGGGACAAAACACTTGTCAGGTCTGTGTTGCAGACATGTTCAGTTTGAGAACCAGTGTAACTTGGTCAGTCACCCATGTCAGAAGAGTTTCAAACTGTTCATACTGTATTTGGAAAGACTTAAATTAAGGATACACTTGATACAGTAAAACTGCTTCTAATCTGACAAATCCAGGTGGTAAAGCTAAAGCCACTTCAGGCTTTTAGACCAGCCAGCAGCAGTTCATCTAGAGAAATTGATTATTTCCAGTGGTAAACTGTTCTGATTTGATGTTATCAATTGACCAATGTGATAACAAGGCTTGTTGAAAGATTGAAGGAGAAATTATGTGCTCAGTGTCTATATTGATTGTTCCTCCACACACCACCCCAGCCCAGAGGAAATTGTAGTTCTAGGTGTGTTGAAAGGCTTGGCCCCTGAGAATGTCCTTAATGTTTTGTGTGTGCAGGAGGAGAGGCAGCATCTGCGGGAGGAGCTGGATGATGCCAAGGACAAGGCTCGGCGGCGGTCACTGGGCAACATCAAGTTCATCGGGGAGCTGTTCAAGCTGAAGATGCTGACGGAGCCCATCATGCACGACTGCATCGTCAAGCTACTGAAGAACCACGACGAGGAGTCGCTGGAGTGCCTGTGCCGCCTTCTCTCTACCATTGGCAAGGACCTCGATTTTGAGAAGGCCAAGGTAATAGCAGTGATTAAACCTCCGGGATGCTATCTGGAACAGTCAGAAGCTCACAGTATTCCTTTTGAGAAAGGGCCAGATCGATTGTAGGCTTGTTAATATCAGGAGGCTGACTGCAGGTAGGGTTCCCACGGGTCACAAAGTGCTGCTCTGGTAGTCAGCCAGGGTTCTCCTGGATTTCTGCAAAGCAGCCACCCATGTAAATTGTTGGGTGCCTGTATGCTTTCAGTGATATGCTTAAAGACATTTCAAATCAGTACTTGGAACACATTGCTATGTCCATCCAGGCAATCTCACTCACTTCTAAAAAGACAGGGATGCTGCTGACCATGAACCTCGTTGACTCTCTCTTCTCTTCTCAGCCCCGCATGGATCAGTACTTCAACCAGATGGAGAAGATCATCAAGGAGAGGAAGACATCTTCCCGAATACGGTTCATGCTACAGGATGTCCTGGACTTGAGAAGGGTAACTGCTCCTCACTCCCTTCTTTGTCCTAGTTTTCTCCCCCCCTCCCGTCAGTCAAAAAGCCACAGCTCCAGCAAAGAAAGGCGATCATGGTCAGTGTGGCATAAAAATGTTTGCACCTATGTTTTTACTACATTATTTGAACTTAATTCAGTTTTAGTCCACGTTTTTGTCGATTAACTGGCAGTAACTTTTCTCATTTTCCATTACCACCTTACTCAGGAAGACTACCATTGTGGTGCCTTTGCATCATCATGTTTTATTAAAATACCGTTATCTTCTGCTTCTGCTGTTAAAGCATTTATTGGCTTGTTAACGGCTTATTTTTTATCTAATCAGGAAGAGGCTGTAGTGCTTGCACTGTTGATTTTGTTTGCTACAAAATGAAGGGAGGAAGGCAGTTTCACTTGCCTTTTCTGTCTTATGAATCACTGGTTGGGAATAAAAGGCTGTAGAGGCAGATGGATTCCTGGGCTTTGCTGCTTCTATCAGGTTGCGCCTGAGGAAGGCTGCCATCCTTGGTCACCTGTGCTTCAGAACAATCCTCCCTCCCTCATTGCTCTCTTGAGCTTATGCAAATGTGCCTCAAGAAATGGGAAGTTTCCCTGCATATTACCTTTTCGTTCTCTTTTGTCTTGCATCGCTTGTCAATGTTATATATTCTGCTCTCTAACCCTTACGTGTTTTTCTGCCCAGAATAACTGGGTGCCAAGGAGAGGAGACCAGGGGCCCAAGACGATCGACCAGATCCACAAGGAGGCAGAGTTGGAGGAGCACCGTGAACAGATCAAAGTCCAGCAGCAGCTCATGTCCAAGAAGGACAGCCGCCGCGGGGGCCCTGGGGGGCCACATCCCTCAGGTGGGTGATGGGGACCCCTTACCTCCACAGGAGCACAGTCATGTATCCATACTTTCCAGTGAGGGCTAACTGCCCCCTTTCTGCAATAATGTGAGCTTCATACAGTGTATTAGACTCCGGTCTTTTTTCCGTTGTTACCTGAACAGAAACTGTAACAGATGGTTCACCCTCAGGTTTGTTACTACCTCCTACAGGTGTTTTCTTACATTGGTTTTTGGTACAGGAAAGTAAATGAAAAGGTGGTTTAACACAGTGGGTAGGCAGTCTTGCTTCTAGTACAAAACTTTGATTTGCCAGTCCTTAGACTGTGATGATTTCAGTAGTAACTAAAATGTCAGAAATAGAAGCTAACACCTTTACTTAAGTTCACGTCAGCCTAAAGCTTTACATTTTTAGTTTATTCAGCAAAGCTTCAATTGAGTTTTATTCGTTAAGATTTCGTAAAACTTTGTGTATTGTCAGCAGGAATTCAAGTGCGATTTGATTTCTGAGCTTGTCCATCTCTTCCTTCCCCCTTCCTCCTGCAGGACGCAGCACCCAGCCGCAGGATGAGGGCTGGAACACTGTCCCCATCTCCAAGAACAGGCCCATCGACACCAGCCGGCTCAGCAAGATTACCAAGGTGAGCACTACGCTCTACCACTCTAGCATGTGCGGTGCTTGAATCTGGGGCTGCTCCAGTGATGATCTCTTGTTAGTGCCACAGTGTCTGGGCCACTGAACTCTTGTGATGGAGATGAGGTACTGAGGGGCAGTTTGTCAGCTTCCGCTCTGCTGAACGAATCCCACTTTGAAAGGAGCACAGGCACACATTTGGCTGTTTTGACCTGGGTCCCACTCCAGTTCTGTAGAGTTCCCAACTATAGAGAGCATTTACAAGAGTCGCCGAGAATGGCCTGGCATTATTGCCGCTTTCCAGAAGCTGTCAAACCAAAGGATCAGGCCACCGGTATGATATAAAATCTGTAGCCTTTGATTAATTTGATTTCAGGAACATACAATAGTGTAGCAGTGTTGTATTTTGTGGAAAGCCAGCAAACGCAGTGACATTTGTTGATTAATCCTCCAGGGTAGATGTGGGTGACTGAGGCTTGTTTGCATCACCTGTTCTTACCCTTCTGTACTTCCCCAATATTATGTAGCCTGGAGCAATGGACTTCAATAACCAGCTGCTGGCTCCAGGGGGCAGACTGAGCTGGGGCAAAGGCAGCAGTGGAGGCTCTGGGTCCAAGCCTGCTGAGCAATGTAAGTAGACCCCTAGAGCAGTGCTGCTCCATCAGTATTAGATTGTTAGATTCATATAATGTTAATTGCATTGTCTCTTAAGTTAGTGTAGAATTAGCTTTATACTTAAATGTTATACGTGTAAAGAAATTATATAAGGTGTCCTTGTTCTAGCTATGTCTAAAAGTAATTTTAGAAACATTTTACAAGAATTCAGATTATCGAAATTCAGAAAGGGATTTGGGAAAAGTCACAAGTTTTGTAATTCTGATGGTTCTCTTGTTGACTGCAATTCCTGCCTACACAGCTTCTGACACAGGACGTCCTGCTACCAGTACACTGAACCGATTTTCAGCTTTACAGCAGTCTTCGATGCCTTCGGGCACGGTGTCTGGAGACAACGAATCGAGAAGAGTTCCTCAGAGGTGAGACCATCTTCTTGTCCAAGATAAGACTGTATTATTCCGTTCCTCCCTCAACATCTTCACTGACCTCTCTCCCTCCCTCTTGCTCAGGAGCAGCTCCAGTAGAGACCGCGGGGAGCGCAGCGACAGGTTCGACCGCTCGGACCGCTTCGAACGCGGGGAGCGGGATCGGGATCGGTTCGACCGACGAGAGAGCGACAGGGAGAAGGCGTCCGAAAGGGGTGACAGGAACAGACCCCCCATCACCAAGAGGAGTTACAGCAAAGAGACAGAGGACCGCAGCCGGGAGAGGGAGCACCGCGGCCCTGCTGACCCCTTGCGCAGAGTCGCCAGCATGACAGACGACAGGGACCGAGGCAGCCGGGAGAGAGCCAGGAGCAAGGAGAGCGGTGAGAGACGAGGGGGTTACCGTAACCTAACCCTTTTCTGCTCCTCTGGGCACTAGCAAGTATTTGAGGAAAGTGAAGAGGATGCTGTCGCTGCTGTTTGTAATGTATTCAAAAGTACCCGTTATAAGAAATGCACATATTTATAGACATGGTGACCAGGTTTGTTCAGTATAGGAATGTGAGGACAAATTGCTTTTGCTTCTGGTATTGGCAGCAGCTAAGAGTCAATGGCTTGTCAACAAGTAGATTTCTTCCTGGTTGCAGTGAAAAGGGAGCCCGCATCTGCCCCCGCACCTGCGCCTGCCAAGCCCGCACTTAGCGAGGATGAGCTGGAAAAGAAATCGAAGGCCATCATCGAGGAATATCTGCACATCAACGACATGAAGGTGGGGCAGGGGTGGCATCACTGGAAGTTGGTAGCCCAAAAACGTGCAGCATGAGCCCCACTGTTTAGGAATGGAAAAGTTTATTGTTCTATAGGATGGATTGGACAACCTTTACTTTGCCACGTGATCAAGGGCTTACTAAATATCAGTAAGGTGATTTTTGTCTCAGACTGTGGGCATGTAGAGGATGAGAGTCCCTTATTTTGAACACCTCTCTTCCTCCTTCACAGGAAGCTGTGCAGTGTGTCCAGGAAATGAACTCGGTATCCTTGCTCTTCATTTTTGTGCGGAATGGCATTGAGTCGACGCTGGAGCGCAGCACCATTGCACGGGAGCACATGGGTCTGCTGCTGTACCAGTTGGTCAAGGCTGAGACTCTGCCCATTGAGCACTACTTCAAGGGGTAAGGCCCGTTTCATACCATGCTATCTCTTTTCCTCCTGCCTTTCTGCTTTTCCAAACCTACTCCCTGTGAGCCTTCCACAGTGGACGTTTGCTTGGGTAAGCAGCTGGGGACAATTTAAGCACATCCCTGCTCAGATAGCCGCTAACAGGTATTGGGACAAGTGGTTTCTATTAATTAAAGTTTGATTTGAGCCTATTTCCATAAATACAGATGTACGAATGCATGCATAGGCCTGTGCGAAAGAGCTCTAGAATCTGTAGGCTAGTTCTGTGGGACAGTTGTGGGTTATTCCTTTTGTTGTGGGACAGTTGTGAACTTGCAAGTTTTGTCTTTAGACTGCAGGAGATCCTGGAAGTGGCAGAGGACATGGCTATTGATATCCCACACATCTGGTTATACCTGGCTGAGATCATCACCCCCATGCTGCATGAGGGGGGCATTCCCATGGACCTGCTTTTCAAGTGAGTCTTGGAACACTTGGTCCTGCACACAGATCCAAAATGAGCTGTGCTGTTATAATAGTTTTTTTTCAAAAAATGTATGTTAACATGAGAAGATGAAGTCCCAGCATCTTGGAACATGAATCTCTGCTACTCGTGTAGCAGACATTCTAAGTTGATAACCAGGAATTTCCATCAGAGCATGCCAGTGCAGTTGTCATTGATAATAGGACCTTGGTTTCATCCTATCACTATTAAGGTTCACTATCTTAATGAGGGAGGTTAGAGAGACTGTAGCAGAGTCAGGGCTTAAAAATAAGCCCTTTTCCTTAACTGCTGCTTCTCCTAACCAGAAGCCTGACCTTGTCTTTGTTTCTTACAGAGAAGTATCGAAGCCTCTTGTTCCCCTTGGGAAGGCTGGACTCTTGTTAGTTGAGATCTTGTCCTTGCTGTGCAAAGAAATGGTGAGTGCAGTAGTATGTTGATTTTGGTGTGCCTCTGCATGTGACTGAAGATCAGAGTTCATATTCACAACAGGGATGGACACCGACACCCAACCCTGCCAAATTATCTGGTGGGTTCTTTTACTAATGTGGCTGTCTCGTCTCCCCACTCAGAGCCATAAAAAAGCCGGAGCTCTCTGGAGAGAAGCAGGGCTAAGCTGGAAGGACTTTCTGCCAGAGGATGAGGACGTCAATAAGTTTGTAACAGAAAAGGTGAGAGGGAGACCCTTTCTTTCCAATAGAGTATGTACCTGAATATACGCCTGGTTTTTATATCACTCATCCTGCTGTCAGAGTTTATCTTTCTTCCTGGTTTGTGTCAATGCAATAAAATTCAACGAGTGTGTGTGAATGTCTCAAAGATGCACACATATAGTTGCTATTCATTGGAAATATCCTGCTGTCTTCTTACTTAGAGGTCTACATCCTTCTCTTTCCAGAAAGTGGAATTCACTTTGGGAGACGACTCTGAGAAGATGAGCAAAAAGGAGCTGACTTCAGAGGAGTTGTGCCGACAGCTGGAGAGGCTGATTAAGGAGAAGGCAGACAACCAAAGAATTTATGACTGGGTTGAGGTGTGTGAAGCTGCGTTGAAAAAACCTGCCATAAAGCTGTCCCGCACACACAAGATTTCTTGTTGCCTCCATAATGGGGCTACTGGTGTACAGTGCAGCTTCCCAGTACTCCTGGTGAATCCCTGACCAGGCTAACACAGCACATGTCATCGTAAAATGGAGAACGTTAAGTACGCATTGAAAAATGAGTAGAGTATAAAACTTATTTTTCCCCAAACAGGGGACTCATTCATACTTCAGTGTCAGTAATTTGGTAGCTAGTTAACACCAGCTCAGATGTACAGACGCCTTCTCCCATAATAGGCAGGAGTTCACCTCATCAATCTGAGAGTTGAGATCAAGCCATGGAGGATCTTATCTGTTGTTCAATTCTATAGTTATCAATTTAATCCAGGCTAGGGTATTGCATCAGAGAGCCTTTTTCTCCTATTGCGTAATCAGCTTTTTTTTTCTTTGTACAGGCTAATCTGGATGAGCAGCAGGTTTCTTCCAACATGTTCATCAGAGCAGTGATGACATCAGTGTGTCAGTCTGCCATCATCTGTGAGTACCTACTAAGATGTTTGAAAAGTTTTCCAGGCCTAAAGCATGAATAATACTCCTTCTTCATGTCTCAGGAGCAGTTTGACTTGACATCTGTGGCCTGAGTGGTTAGTGAGTGGGTGACTAAGTTAACATTAGTCCTGCACTCCTGTTTCACAGTAAAAGCAGTTAAAGATGTGGCCTGCTTCCCCAAACCTTATTAATTTTCACGAAGTTTTTGGGCTTTGCGAGTCAGGCTTTATCAGACTGTAACTCAGTTTTGTTGTTACTCCTATTGAAGCAGTACGTTGGAACTGCTGCCTGTACATGCGCTGAGAGCTAGATTTTACTGAGTTAATGGAGGTCGCATTTGAAGAGCGCAGTATTAATGGCTCCTCTACTCCTTTCACAGATGAGAACCCGTACAAAGTGGATACTGAGCAGATCACGCAGAGAGCCAAGCTGCTGCAGAAGTACCTCGCAGATGAGCAGAAGGAGCTGCAGGCTCTCTATGCGCTGCAGGCCTTGATGGTGAAGCTGGAGCAGCCAGCGAGTGAGTGTTGGGGGGTTTGGGGAAGGTTGTTCTGTGTCTGTCTTCAGTCTGTTTCTCCCAAGCCCTCCCATCTCTAAAAATAATGCAAAAACTGTGGCAGCTAGAAGCAGAAAAGACCGACTACCTTTATGGAGATATTCAAATTCTCTGCCCCCAACACCTGTTGGATACGAAGTAACATGGCAAGATAACTGTGGACTAGAGGACAGTATTGCCCCTTTATGTCAACAGTTTCATCCCAATGTTCTTCCAAACTGGGCCAGGATGTGATCACAGGAGTTTGCTGCAGATTGGATAGTGTTGTCCTTATGGCACACATTAGGCTGCAAGTAACAAGTTTCTCATTTCTTTTAAGCAATAGATGACGTGCTGAATGTCCGCAAATTTGCTTTATAGGTTGAACAGTTCTGGGTTCTACTCCATTTTGCACCCTCATGGTGTTTTTTTTCTTTTCCTTGTAAAGAGGCAGCAGTTTTCTCTGTGGAAAGTGGGGGTGTCACTTTTTTAAACCCAGTTTCTGATATCGGGTCTTTCCCCCTTTCAGATCTGCTGCGGATGTTCTTTGACACATTGTACGATGAAGACGTAATAAAGGAGGAGGCCTTCTACAAGTGGGAATCGAGTAAAGACCCAGCGGAGCAGCTGGGCAAGGGTGTTGCTCTCAAGTCCGTCACTGCCTTCTTCACATGGCTCCGTGAGGCTGAGGACGAGTCTGACAACAGCTAGGCTCCCTGGCGCCCTCTGCAGAGTAGGAGGGCCGGAGCAGGGCAAGAGGGAGAGGCAGAGGACTTTTTCAAAAGTGGCTTACATTAACAGTTTGGTGAAGAAACAATCCTTCTCCGGCACAAATTGGACAGCTGGAGAGATCCAATAGATCGGCATACGATCGTTTAATTTTTTTAGTTTTTTTTTCTGGCGAATGTCTTTAACAAACAAAATAAAATGAAAACAATTTAAAGAGGATGACAAAACAGACTGTGGGGGTGCAATTCCTTCAGTGTATCAAGAGTTTTATCTTTTGTTTTAAAGCATCTCGACATTTCATGATGTCCGATAAAATCCTGAACAGAAATCGAATCAACTAAGGCTGCTCTTTTCAGTATATGTGGCGCTCTAATACTTATGTAGGTGGTTATTATATTTTTTTTAGGTGTAGGATGATTGGAGTGCGTTTTTTTAATATAAAGGAAAATTAAAAATGCAAAAAAAGGGGAAGGGGACAGTCGATGTTGCTGGAACTTTCCAGGAAGGAGATGGGAATGCGCCTGGAGAAGCAGGAACTTGGATTCCATGTGACAGTGTAATTGTGGGCGTGGCTGAGACAGGACTGGACATGTGATTTGCCAGGAGGCTCCGCCCACTATCCTTTCTCACAACTGCCCCTTTTGTTTTTTTTTTCGCCTACACTTAACAAATGGGCAGGGGGGAGGGGGGCAGGGGGCTTAACAGCCTTGAACAAGCCTGTAGTGGATTTTAAAGATACAGAGAATCATTGTTAAAAAAACTTGAAGATATATAGAAGTAAATCTTAAAAATAAACAGTACAGAAGCTTGAGACATTTCTGCTGGTGTAAAGTGGAAATATTTCATGACCGTTCTGTAAATATATTAATTTTTTTTCCTCATGTTTTATTTTTCTTGTTTTCCAGAAATAAAAGAAAATGTAATGCCATGAAATGTTTTATTTCCTTCCTGTGCTTTTTTCCCTCCTTTAAAAAAAGACAACGTGGCAGATTTTCCTGTATTTATAATTTTTTTCCCCTCCCTGAGTTACCGGAAGGTGCTTGTAATTATCCACCTGAATTCATTGATTACAGTTTAATTGAAATTTGTAAATACTTTTTTGCTTTATTAAGTATTTAATTAAAAAGATTAATGCCTCTTTTCACATCAGAAACTGGAAAAGATAAAGAACATTGCAAATAAAAGACTATCAAGTTGCAGTACAGTGTGGAAGCCCTCATTTCCTTATCTTCTGAAGGTTGGTCAGCAGACTAATTGTGATGCACTGGAAAGAGATGCTAAGTGCTTGTATGCACCTTTATTTCAGTGCTGTTAATTGTTTTTAAACTCATTCACTTACTTAACAAAATAAGAACTACTCCATTTGAACTGAAAATTGACCCTCCGTGACAAGCCATTGGTGTGAGGGCAAGGTGTGATTTTCATGTGGTTCAAATGGTGTTGCCTACCGAGTGTTAATAGCCTGGTCCTGACAGGTACTGAGATTCGACTTTTAAAAAGTCCACTTAAAACCTTTCTAGCTGGTTGAGCTGTTTTGGGAACTGTATCCAAACAGTGAATGCCCTGAAGATGGTCCTTGGGGGGGCTTGATGTCTCATTCTGTTCCTATGCCAGTGTTACTTGAGTGACTTTGATGTAGTGTAAATTGTTTTTAAACAATTGATTCAAAAACCTTTGCTCCAGTAGAAGCAGACGGCTTGTGGGTGCTGTTTCAGCTGCTGTCCTGATGGAGTTGCTGTGGACGACGTCTAGAGCCAGTAGCACCCCTGTCCTAGGTTCCTCGATAGCTGGGGCTCCAGCATCTGATGGTTTCTATCCCAGCTAACCTGTTACTATATTGAACCCCTTTCCTTAATCAACTTTTTTCTTTTCAAGTGCTTCCTATCCCTGGTCCTGAGTGTCCCCAGTTTTTTTTTCCACCTTTCCTAATTGTAATTATTTGTTTCCTGTGTCAGGAGTGTTACATTTGGCTTTATCTCAAGACATTGAATGGGTTTGTAATTGGTGTTTGTCCTCACTACTCATTTGTGACTTTCAGAATTGCCCTCATGTTCCCTGTAATGTAACCAAATGGCACTGCACAGAAGGAGAAATGCCTTGTTGGAACTAAGCAATGCTTAATTGTCATTTCCACCTTTGTTCAACTTAAACGGACAGTTTAATTGTTTTACACAAAAATAAAAGTGAAGTCTTAAGTTGTGATGAGCCTGCACAAAAGTTGTTTGGTGAAGTCATCGGAGCAATTTTCTGAAGGCTAGTCTGAAAGCAAAAACAGAGCACAGGGGTAAGTCTAAATGAGCAGGCAATTACTTTTAAACACGTTGGTTGGCACCAGTGATTAACTTGGAGTTGGGAGTCATTTTTCTGCTCATGTTGCGGACGTGGTATTTGTTTAAACTTACGATGTGTTTTCAGGGTTTCCAGTGCAAGCCAAGAGGCTCATGAAATTGCAAGAATAAGGTTACTGCTTGACTAAGAAAATGGTCAATATGGCCCAAGTTGCTGATTGGAGACCTTTTGCAAATCTGTTCACTGTTGGAGCAAAACATTGACACGGTGAGGGCTAGCATTAGGCTTTTGGTAATGTTTGGTCTCTAACCGGTTTAGCATACACTTGTCTGAGCATGAAGATCAATGTTCTTTATGCTGTGTAAAGTCATCAGGATTAATGACCCCAGGCCAGTCGTATCTACATAGTTATGGATGGGGTAGGATGGTAGTGCAATGGTGAGCTCCTTGGTTCGGTTATGGACTTGGGATGCTATCTGCTTGGGGTTTGCATGTTCTCCTCATGTTCACTTTGGTTTCCTTTTCAGGATCCGATTTCTTCCTATAGTCCACAGACGTACTGATGGGTTAATTGCCTTCTGGAAAAATTATCCCTGATGTGATTGTTTTGTTTCTGTGTATCCTGCAATAAACTGGTATCTGGAATCTTGTGCTGATTACTTGCTGACATAGACTTCTGCTCCCCAATGACCTGTATTGGATAAAGTGGTTAGAAAATCAATGGATTGATAATGATGGGATTGTCATTGAAAATGTTAAGCTTTTTTCCCCATGATGGAATGCATTGCTCTCTCCTCCCCCTGTCTGCATTAATTTGGGACCCTACTGAAGGAGTTTGGATTGTTCATCTGACAGATGGAGCTTTGCCATGCCTGATAGCAGGGTTACCAGGCCTGGTCCTCCAGGGCCCCAGTTCAATAAGTCTACGGATGGAAAAATAGTAACCAATAATGCAACTGATTTGTTAGTGAAATCAAAATCGAAATATTCTTGTGCCTTCAAGGACCCAGAGTTATCTTAATTGAACAGTTGGCTTGTTTAATTAATCAATATCCACATGTTTATAATCTTTGGAAACAGGCAGCCTGTAATACTGACCTGCATTTGAGCTCTTGCCTACTTAAGTGGGAGATCGTTGCTTTTTATAGAGTGACCTGCACTTGGACGAGTGAACCTGAGACCACAAAAATGGATCATCTCTCCAAGACCTTACTGCTAGTCCTCAGGTGCCCAATATGTTACAGGTCCCAGAGCCACAGTTGCTCAAAAACCATAGCACTGTATGATAAACCAGGCCTGTTGTTTTCAGTAAAACATAAGATTACAAATGTCTGACTGAGGTTATTCCACCTGTTGAGCTTGTTTGAAAATGAGGCATGTTTTTTAATGCTGTAACTGATGGTCCATCAGCTTACAATAAATAAAGATTGGTCAGATTTGATTTTTCCGGTGGTGGATAGCAAAGAACCTAGTGATTCTGAGTTCAGGAAAGTTGTTCAGAAAGGGAAAAAATAAATTTCAGATAAGGGTTCATTGTCGTATGTAGCAGGACTCTGTCCCTGGCATATTGAGGATTCTTCTCATTAAAGGCAATTCCTGGTCTAACAATTTTTTTTTTCTAATGATTTTCTTGTTTAAAATTAGAACTAGACAGTCAAGGTTAGTGATTTATATGCGGTGACGAGGCTGGTTTGCTAGAAGCTTGAACAAGTGCAAAAGTCATGTACCCCAACAGCTGCACTGTATATTTAATTGCTCACTAAAGTGATTGAAAAACCAGCAGACATGGAGTTCTGCCAGTATGAAGGCTGGAAGTCTCAGCTTTACAGCCTTCCTGTAAGAGGGCTGTGACTGAGACTGTAACTGTCATAGCAGGACCAGGGCTGAGTTACCAGCCAGTTCGCAAGCATTTTGGCATTTTAACCAGTTACACGTCCAGCACAACAGGAGAGAAACAGTGTGAAGAACATGTGCTTTATTTAACTTGAACATGATTTTAGAATTCAGGTAGAATGGAGAAACAGTCTCCACTGCTAAGCAAGTTTCCCAAATAATATTTAGACCCATCATCCGTTTGTGATTCACCCATGTGTATAGCAACCAAATGCGTATTTACATAAAAAAACTTGGCAAATGAAAGTGCACATCTAATTTCTTCTTTGGGACGTGTGCTGTAATAGTGCAGTGCTTAAGAACACATACAGAGTGACCATTTATCTGTCACAAAGTCTTCAAATATCACAAAAAGGAGTAAGAGGAAAATGTCTTAAAGAAAGGTGTTGTTGGGGTTAGAGGAAAGGGAGTGTGAAAGTGGGATTCTCGCCACAGGTTCCTGGTCATTGCTGGGGGTAGTTAATAATTGTGTGGGTGACTAACAAACAGCTAGGCATGGTCTTGAAACTCTAGCCCATGGGGAATCTGCAGTCTTCTCTCAAGCATCAATGGCATGACAGGGGATACTTCCCTGTGCCACTTGTTTTTGTAAGCGGGCTAATGGAATTACTCGGACACGCTATTTGATAGCAGTGGCCTCATTGTGCTCTGCATCCCAACTATGCCGATTGCTTCATTCGGGCTGTCACGCTACAGCTTTCTCAGGAGGCCATAAGAGGGAGCCCCTGGGGGGTGCCAGTGCAGTCCAGGTGCCCGTCAGGAGTCATGCGGCCGGTCTCGACGCTCGTCCTTTGCCTCTGCTGCTGCATCTTTCTTTCCTTTGCGGCTACAGTGTTCTTCCCAGGTAAGACTGCGGTTGTCTGGACTGGTCTGTGTTTCTGGGAGACTACCGTTTGCAAGATCCGGATGTCCACCCCGATCTGATTTGGTATGACACTTGTTTCCAGGTCAGGGCTGTCCATTCAGATGTGTCTTGATAAAGCTGCTTTCTCCCAGTCTGAGCTATTTCTAGGATCAAGCTTCCCACTTGGATCTGCCTTGATGCAATGGAAAGCAGGTGTGACAGTGCTGTCAGAGCACAGCTGAGAGCCGAAATCTCATTGCCATTCACTGGCCAGGGCACTGCACCCAGAATTTAGAACAGCGCTTCAGAGGGTTTCAGATTTTATTGAACTGCATTAGTGACAATTGGACTAGACAGCCATTCATTTTTACCATCTTAAACCAGATGGCCTAGAAGGTATTGTTAATTCTGGGTACAGAAGCTCCATAGTTTTTTTTTTTTTCCAATACAGACTTTAATGGGAATGTTTTTTCCAATTGTTCAAATAAGCAGACCAGCTAACTGAGTGGGGAATCGGGGTATGCTGGAGGGTGAAAAGTTCTGCTGGTCACCAGGAGCTAAGGCTGACCAACCTGAGCTGGGGGAGTCCAGCAGGAATCTGTCTTCCCCTCACCCGGGGAACCACTGTGTCTCCTGACTCTTATTGCAAGTCAGCTAAATAAAAAATCCACACAGCAGGTGGTCTATCATCTTTCTTTAACATGAAGAAAGATAAGTGAAGAGTTTGGGCTAAACACTATTGGAAGAACTGAAACAAAAAGCCTTGACACACACATCCCTGATGGCAGACGTATGACATTTTGTGTGTCAAACACAATACACTCCATTTCTTCTATTACAATTGAGGAGATGTCTCTTCTGGGGAGCCGCCTCTGGTTGGAGTATAGTAGAGGTCCTAATTATTTCATGCACTGCGTGAACTCATCTCTTTGATCCAAGCCTGAAAGTTTTACAGCTACTCTACCTTGTAGTCTGTGACTCTTAGAAATGGGCAACTTTCAAAGACCTTGAAAAATGATTAAACATGTCCAGCCAGGCCAGTAATGAGATCTGTTAATTGAGGGTTGAAGCTGAAATGGAGCAGCAGAAGATACAGCATCCCTGAGGGCCATGAGACTGTCTGCCTGCTGTGTGCAGTGCAGGTCCTGACAGGAAAGGATGAGCACAGGGCACTCCAGAAGAAGACAAGGAAGGTTACAAACAAAAAGAAGGCTGTTTGGAACATTTTGATTCAAAGTCTTTAGCTGCAGATACAAACATTTGCTCCAATGTTTTAACTCTATACACACTAGTGGAAATTTCTATTATTTTGATCAAATTAGATGATAATCATGCATCCATTACCAGAAAGCCAGTTGTTTGTGGTAAGAGTTGTGGCAGCCCAGAGCCTAACCTCGAAGCACAGGGCAAAGAGCAGGGCTTCACTGTGGATGGACACCACTTGGTTGAAAAGCACTATGTAAATGCAATTAATTTGGTTAAATATTAAGTCTTTTCATGCCTAATTTGTTTCTGTCTAGATTTTTTCATGCAATTTTTTTAGAATTAATTTTATAATGCGTCAGCACGTTCTGTGACTCTACTGTCCTGACTGTGCAATTCTGAAAGTCTGTGTTTCTGTCTTTCTCTAAGCACTCCTTGTCGGTTTGTGACTGTCAGGGCTCTTGTAGATGTGGGGGTGGTTGTGCGCTCAGTATCCTCAGCATCTGTATGTGTCTCTGTCTTGTGGGGATCAGACGAGGAGCGGAAGCCCCAGTTTTGGTTTGATCTGGCTCAGCGGCGCCTCCAGAGCAGGCTGTCCCAGCGAGACTCCACCAGCACAGCCAGAAACCTGCTGCTCTTCATCGGAGACGGTGAGGACAGCCTCTCAGGAACAGCACAGGCCAGGGCTGGTGTCCCCTAGGGGGTGGAAGGAAGCTGTCCAGGAGAAGATTACTTTTATACTTTTTTTACTTTCAGTTCCCAATAATGTTGATCCAAATCAAACTATTTCACGTGCTTGAATGTGCACAGAAATACAGAATTTACTTTTCATTTAGAATCATTCCACATTAAGCCAGTTTAGAATAGGGTGCAATATCTAGCAATGGTTAGTGGCTTAGACTCATGACTGAAATATTGTGTTCAAGCCCAGTTATGGACACTGCTGTTGTACCTTCTGAGCAAAGTATTTTACCACAATCCCTGCACAGATGCACAACTGACATCTGTCCACACAACTCTACCAACAGGTATCAACATTGCTCATGGATAACCCTGTGATGGAGTAAACCCCCATCCCAGGGGGAGTCCCATACCCTCCTTCTGCTTAATATACTCCAGCCTGATGAGTCTCGGGGATTGAGAATGCATTTTGCTACAATTTAAAGTATGCAGTTGTGACAGCAACTCCTACGCCACATGCAAGAGAAAGAAACATGTTGATATGCCCGACTAAGGAGCCATTTGTCATTTCACTTTTCTAGTTCCACAACACCTTAGATAAAAGCTATTACTGATTGGAGGAGGTGCTGACAAATCTTTTTCTGACATCACTACACAGCCTGCAGGGGCCACAGCCCTGTTTGACTAGTTCCAAACCCACTCCTGAACTAGTTACAGTCCCCATTGGCATGAACTGGTGACATATGGACCACAGGGCTCTATCTGACTCAGTGCAGGTCCTTGATGTTGTATCAGGTGTCTCCGCAGGCAAACGGATACTCCTGGCAGGCTTGTCACCTTGCATGCAGACAGAAGAATATCAGAGCTGATGCTCTGAAGTATTGTTAAAATAATAGTAAGTGTAATAAGTATCAAGTCCCAGGATGAATCCATTTGGAAACAGGGCTTCATGTGTGCAAATAATTCTTCTGACTTACCTGTTGCTGTTAGATTGTAGCAGGAATCAGACTGAAAGATGTGGCATTAACAGTCACATAGTAGCCTTCACAGTGTGGGGATGGCTGTTGCAGGGATGGGCCTAAACACCATCACTGCCACCCGGATCTTGAAAGGCCAGCTGAGGGGCGGCACCGGTGAGGAGTTCACACTGGCCATGGACACTTTCCCCTACACAGCCCTTTCCAAGGTGAGATCCTCACCACCGCTGAGCCAGCTGGCAGAAATACTCTCTTTTGTCCCCTTTCTTCATTATCCTCTTTCCCATTCAGGTGGGTGGTGGACTGCCTGTCAGTGACAGGGAAAGGGGGAATATTCTCCTGACCTTTGGAAGGATATAATGCTTTAGGAGAGGAGAGTTAGTCTCGAGATGGGCTTTTACAGCCTTGGTTTTTGATTTCTGAGTTCACAAGAGAAGTGTTTCTCTTCATCAGGCCAGCTCACTCTCAAGCTATGTTGCTGAATGATAAAGGTATAGATTTAAAATAGAGAAATAGAACAAACCTTGTGTGAGGTCTGCCACAAAATCCCAGTGTGAAACAGAACCCTCACCATGGCAGTATTGAAAACCCGCACTTCTCCTTACTTAGATGGTTAAAAATGCTACAGTCATGTTAATGTCAAGCATTCCTCCTCCTGTAACCTGAGACTAAGACAGCAGTTAAGATTTATCAAACTAAGTACAAAAATTGTTCATGATTTGCAGGATGTGTCTATATAGTAATGAAGGTTGCCAATTTTCCTTTCAATTAATAAATATGGTAAAGGGGTGTGTTTTTACCTGAGTGCAGACGTACTGTACAGATGCCCAGATCGCTGACAGCACCTGCGCTGCCACGGCCCTCCTGTGTGGAGTCAAGACCAACAAGTTCACGGCAGGACTGAGCGCTGGCGCCACCTACGACCGCTGTAACACCTCCGATGGGCATCACGTTACCTCCATCCTGCGCTGGGCCAAGGACGCAGGTACACAGAACAGGAGGCCCTGCTGTGTTTACAGACAAAAAAGCAGTCCTGCGCTGTGAAAATGTGAAATTAGGTTATTCCATGGGTTATTGTGTACAGCACCTTAAAACATTCTTGATTGTTGATTCTTCAGGGTTCAATTAACACTGTCAACTTGTTTCTCTCACCTGCTCATCTGTGCTGATCCTGAAATAGTCTGTTGAGGATCAACAATGAAACTAGTACCTAGTCACACAACTGGAAATTAATAATTACAATAATATTGCAATTGTTAAATAATAACGTAAATACAATTTAAGTAAAAGTATTTGGAGCTTTTCAAGATAAAACATCCTAAAGTGAACAGATTAAAAACGGTAGCAAGAAATAAATCAGTAAAAGAAAAAAAAAACACGATCAACAAATGAGAAGAGCAGGCAAAAAGTATTTGGAAAAAGCAAATAAATAGCAAGGTGTTACGATTTTCAGTTTCACCACCCATCTGGAAGAATGGAAAACTCCTAATGGGAGTCTTTGGTTTCCTCTCCTCCTTGTCCACATGGTCTATAGTTCCTGTTTCTCTACTTATTCTCTACTTCTGTATTATTCAATAAAGGCTCCTGTGATGGACTTTTGTGAAAGGCACTTTACACCTGATTTACCTACTTTCGGATTTGTCTCAGGCATCCCTCCTCCACCCCATCCCTCTCCACCTCGCAGCTACCACTTCTTTAACTCCTTTCTGCTTCCTAGTCCTATGGCCAGGAAGCTACCCCTTCACCAAGTGGATTCAGGCACGACTCGTTACAGCTCAACACCCAATAGTCATTCAAAAAGCATCCGTTTCTTTGTTGGTTTTGTCCCTCCTGAATTCAAGTTTGTCAGTTGGTGGATCTCCTAGATCTATCTGTAAACCTCAGACGGGTCTGCCAGGCGTTTTCATGCAGGAACATTGGCATCATTTGCCGCCATGAGAGTTGGCAGTTTGTTTATTTATCTGTCTGACACGTATATTCTGAGCATTTGACATTGATGCCCATATATATGGGGCTGAACAATTTGAGAAAAGTATCTTTCTTGAGGGTACAAAAACAGTGCCATCCTGGTATTTACACCCACGAAGAATCAGTCAAGAGCCCTAACCAGTCCTCCACACCTCCACACCGCCACCTGATGTTTGCTCTTGACAGGTGTCAGTAGTCATGTCAACCTCTTGGGCGACCAGTTTAACACGTGTCACTGTTAATGAGAATTTGTTCTCAACCGACTTACCCTTCACTCTCATCCCTTCTCTCCCACCGTCTCTCTGTCTTCCTCCTTGTTCACTCTGCAGGCAAGTCTGTAGGTTTCGTGACCACCGTGCGGGTACAGCATGCCACTCTTGCCCCTGCCTACGCACACACCCCCAACCGCTACTGGTACAGCGATGCCAACATGCCAGCGGAACAGAGGCAGCAGGGCTGCAAGGACATCGCCCACCAGCTCGTGCACAACATTCCAGACATAGAGGTAGTACGAAACAGAAGGGGGAGGGAAGGAGGGATTGAGTTGGGAAGAGAAAAGAGGGAAAACAGAGGAAGACATTGAAAGAAATAGGGGCACTCACTTACACACAGCATCCCTGACATGGAACTAGGGTTTGGGGGGAGGAAGTGGGAAGAAGAGAGCATAGGGAGAGAGGAAGAAGAAGAGGGAGAGACAGATGAAGGAGGAAGGGCCACAGAGAGGATGGCGTCCCGGACTTTGCTCCCGTGTTAATACACATCATTGCTGATATAGGGTAGAGCAGAGTAAAGGGCAGGAATGGAGAGTGTGAGAAGGGAGAGAGACAGAGGAGAAGGAGTAAGAGTGAAGGGAGGGCTGCAGGGATGGGGAAGGAGTTTGGGAGACAGAAAAAGAGCAAGCTGATCTGTAGACTCACATGAAGATAGCCCAGACTTCCACCTGAAGCACAAATTCTAGCTCTCGTGAAATGACCAGCAACTTACTGTATGTCATAGGCAAGTTAAATTAGGTTTAATGAGTTAAATAAGTCCAAGCGAGAAATATGGAAAAAGTCAGTAATGAGACAAGTGGGCCTCTCTGTCCCACACAGAGTAAAAGCTGTCATATTGTAATCAAGGGTGCTTCTTGTCCAGGTCATCATGGGGGGCGGGCGCAAGTACATGACCCCCGCTGCAACCCCTGACCCTGAATATCCCAGTGATTCCAGGTCCCAAGGCCTCCGGTTAGATGGTGTGAATCTGATCCAAAAATGGAAGGATCTAAAACCGGGCAAGGTGAGAGAGAGAGTAGGTGTTTCTGTGTGTGTACATGTCTGAGCATTTTTGTGCTTGCTCCTTTGTGTGCGTACATGCTGCTCACGTTCATGCCTCTGTCTTCCAGAATGCCACCTATGTGTGGAACAAGGCTGACCTAGACAGAGTGGACCCAGACAAGACAGATTATTTGCTAGGTGGGGGCTTTATTTGAAAGGAATTTAAAAGAAATTGTATGAAAGTAATTCTCATAGTCTGTACTTCAGAATTCAGATGTGAAAGACTGGAGTGTCCAGACTCTAGAGCTGGTTTCCTGGACTACGGGCTATTTCATGCTTCTGTACTGGGATGCTCACAGTATTGCAGAACTATTCAGGCTATGACTTGCAGACAAGGGTGTTTCTACTGGAAGACTTGAAGGAGGCACAAGCCCCTTCAGTTTGAATTTAGATGACGCAATTTAGAACACATTCACCATTGGCCAGATTGTGTAGGTCCTTTCTCCAAAACAGGGGGTGAGACCTCACTCCCTTACCCACCCTGCCAGAAAACAGAAGCTGTGAGAAGGGGAAAAGAGAGTGATTTCTTATTTCCTTCAAAGATCACTTCAGTCCCCTAGGTTGAGCCTGTAGATTCAAATTGGTAGGAGGTTTAGATGCACAGGTGTCAAGACCAGCCTCTATTTCAAATAATTGCATTTCCATCAGTTGACCACAAGAGAGAGATATTGTACAGTCAATGTGCTCAAGAAACCTGAACAACTGAATACAGTTCTCGCTTGGCTTTTAAAAGCATGCTCCAACGTTATTTATTATAGCTCAGGAGGTATTTTCTGCTTGTTTGGGTAATAATATATTGTGATAAATGTAATAAAATGTCTGTTTCTGAATCCATTTACTATCCAAAAATTAACACAGAAGGGTATTGAGTAATTTACTGTAAAGAAATGCACAAATGAGAGAATATCATTTTGCTTCTAGTAATTTATCGATATGAGGATCTATGCAGCAGTGTCTCGAAGGATCAGATCTAATGAGTTTCTGCAGCATTGTTGAACAGCTTGCTCCAGACACACCCTGCCTTGGTGTAAAGACATGCCAATAGTCCTCGGTCTTCTTCTAGGGTAGAGTGTTAGTGAGGCTGTACTGTAATGGCAGTTGCAGTCTGTGCTGTATTGTCCTGTTTCTGCGTCTGCAGCTCTGTTTGAGCCAGGGGACATGTCCTTTGAACTGGAACGCAATAATACCACTGACCCATCCCTCCCAGACATGACAGATGTGGCGCTGAAAATCCTTCGCAAAAACCCCAAAGGCTTCTTCTTGCTTGTTGAAGGTGGGTGTCACCCCTGGGACCCTCATGGAGTGCCCACTAGGGCCTGAGCTATCAGGTTGGCTTGAAAAGCTGTCAGCATTGCGGAGTGACAAGTATCCATTTGCTTGATTACTCTGGATTTCCTAGGAGCTGCCTAGATGATGGACTGGGAGATAATTTCTGCAGTGATTTTCTTGCGTATTAGCGGTTGAAATGTTGCACACTCAAATGAGAGTCATTACTAATTAAAACTGGTTTTGCAGTAGTTACGGACCCACAGGTAAAAATGGTAAACAGTTTACTAAAGAATGGCTTTCTTCTTAATCCTGTTTAATTTAATTGCAGAATGGGTCCCCCTTTTCTGTCCGTCTGTAATAATTATAATAATTAATATTCATCACATTTATAAAGGTATTTTTTTATTGCAAAGGCACCCAATGCACTTTTATGGAATGGTGGTCAGCTCAATTCATTGACTAGTGAAGTGCAGTTTCCCCTTGGTGAAGTTGGGTATACAGTTTACTCAAGCAATCTCATCTACACTGAAGGCACTTCATGGCTCAGTGTGCAACAATTGAGTTAACTAAATGGAGAAAGTCACCAAGGCTCTGTCTTTTTCACAGACTAAGTAAAGCAGACTTGTTGATGATAGAGATAAATAATATTCCTGCCTCCAGCAGGTTGATGTATTCTTGAGGATTGATGTATTCCTAATTTTAATATAAGTCCTCCAACCATTATTTTCTGTGAGATCTGTAGGCAGGCTTGTTCTCTGAAATGTCAGTAACTGGACCCTGAGGTCTGGAGTCCCTTGTGTCTGTACTGATCAAGAGGAAAGTCCTGATCACACCGTGCTTTGTGCAGGTGTAGTTTGATTGCAGAGCTGTTAAGTGCAGTATGTTATGCTTGAGCATAGTCTCTCTTCAGACCCTCTTCCTTCTCTCCCCCTACCATCCCTCCAGGTGGGCAGATTGACCCAGGTCATCACCAAGGGAAGGCCAAGCTGGCTTTGTACGAGACGATGCTGCTTGATGAGGCTGTGGAGCGGGCGGCTCTGCTGACCAGTGAGAGCGACACACTGACGGTGGTGTCTGCTGACCACTCCCACACGCTCAGCCTGGGGGGGTACACGGACCGAGGGAACCCCATTTTCGGTACAGTGATTGCAACCACTGGCAGACTAACTTTGGTCCAGAGCTCCCAATTAACTAAACCCTTAATTGACCTAATAAAGAACCCAAACTTTAATTGTTTTACTTGGCAAATAGTTACTTCAGTTAATACTGAAGTTATTAGTAATTTGAATAATTTTATGTTTTTTTTAATGCAAGATTAAAGAAAGAATAAACTTTTAAAGAGTAACTAACAATAAATAGGAATTTAAGTAAAAACTTCAGTTATGCTTTGAACTGCAAATTATGAATTTGCAGAATCCAAAAATGGATTAAACATGTTGCAATGAATAGCTAAACTTTAAATCTCAGGTCTCCATGTCTGCAGTATTTTATAGGAAGTGGGTCAGCACCCTTGACTGTCCCTGTCTAGGACTTTGATTATTTAATGGTCTCTTAACTGTTGAATTGGCCTTGTATCTGTATATCTCTTAGCTAAATAAGAGCTTGTTCGAACAGACTTGCACTGGAGAGTAATGGGGTGAAACTTGTATTGCCCTTACCAGTGTTACAGAACTTCGTCACTGTCTCTATTTGTTTAACCTAACCTACATTCGTGGCTGCATTATTTTTCAATGAATGGCTTAAATGAAAGTTTGGGAAAAGAGAACAGTAAATATAAAAATATTAAACATGAAATTCTTTTCATTGTGAACATGTCAAGTCAGGCTGTTGACAAACCTTGACATGGACAGTGTCAGTGGAATCTCATTCCTTTTCCTTAACACCTCCCCCCACACTCCCCTTTCCTCCTCTGCTTCTTTCTGTAACCACTTTTTCCCTTTACTGTCTCACTCCCTGTCTCCCCTTTCTCCCTGTCTTCTCTCTTTCTTCCTCATTTTCTTCCATCTCTGTCTCTCTCTTCCTCTGCCACTGCCTTTTTCCATTCCTTCTTCCTGTTACTCTTTCTCACCTTGTCCAACTCTCCCTTACTGGAATCTCCCCCTCTCTCTCCCTCTCCTTCCTCTAGGGTTTGGGTACCAGGTGAGTGATGTTGATGGGATGCCCTACACAGCTCTGAGCTACGGGAATGGTCCGGGATTCAGTCTGGTCAATGGCAGTCGACGAAACCCACAGATGTACAATACCAGTAAGTGTCATTTCTTTAAACAACAGAACCAACCCAAAGGAGTTAATGGGACAGATCCCTTCTCCAATTCAGCATTTTGGCATGACAAAACCTCACAGTGCAAACATGGGTCTGTAGCAGGAGAACCTGAGAACGTTTCCAGTTGTGACAGGTTGTCAGGATGAGGACAAAAACTATTAGAGCATCACTCTGGAAGCCACACAGCTGATGGCTGCTGCTCATCTTTTCTTCAAATGACACTGACATCGCCTCCATCAGCCCAGCTTCAAGCTCAGCTGGGTTGACACACAGTACTGCGGCACTGCAGAAAGGGCTGTAATTACAGCACAGCCATTTCTTCAAGACCTGCAATCTACACATGTCATGATTCTTTCAGAAGTACATTTGTGTTCAAATCAAAGAGTTTTGCTTGCTGTCCTCCTGTTTCAAATTTGCAAAAGCTGAGCTGAATTGTGAAACAGCCCACATGATGGTTTACCCTGATAAATGTACCAGGGCATGTTTGCATAATGGTTTTACTAGGTATTCCTGTGGTTTGAGCATGTCTTCCTTGTGCTTCACAACACAATAATGTTCACTATATAAATGCTTTAAAACACAATGAAAACCCAGGAAGCCACAATAAAACTATGGTATACCTATGGCAAAATATTATATTTACAATTTACTAGTGACAGGCTTTTGCAATGTGGTCATCATTCTATTGATAGTAAAACTAAAACTTTGGCCATATAATGTGAAGACCGGATTCAATGGAGAAGACTCTGATATTGGGGAAGACTGAAGGGAAAATAAGAAGGGGGCGGCAGAGGTTAAGATGGCTAGATAGTATTACTGAAGTAATGAATATGAATTTGCAAGAGCTCAGAGAAGCAGTTGTTGAGAGACAGGCCTGGCATGCTAAAGTCCAGGAGGTCACGAAGAGTTGGACTTGATTAAACACACATCATTCTATTATTTCAGCCCCAATATGGACACCATGAAATGCGAGATGTTTCTTTTGTGCCTCTGCTCACAGCAGTGACACCAGTACTACATAGGGAGAATGAGAAAAGGCAAATATGCTCCCCTGTGCAAACTGTGCCCTCAACAGGGCTGAACAGAAGAGAAAATTCTGATTGGAGGAACACCATATGTCTCGCTGACATCACAAAGCAAGCCTGGTGGCTCCTGGGAAGTTATGGCAGTTGCCGAAGAGTCAGGAGCCCTGGCAGACTAGGTTCAACCCCCACGCCAGTGGTACATTTTTGTGTTCCTTTTAGGTTTTAGAAGTGATTTTGTGCTTTGAAAATGCCAGCTACTGGCCTGCCTTCCTCTTGGATTAATTGGATATAATTGCCATTCCAAGGACATTTCGAAAAGCACTTAGAGAATCAGCTATCTCTGGCTCTGGAAATTACAGTAGTTAACAGAGCCTGCTAAAGTATCCTGCTGAAATAGTTATTTAAAAGAACATTATAAAAACATTAAGAGAACATAAAGGCTTACATAAAGTACAAACGTTAAACAGCAACTTCAAATCTTGTATGATGGAAAAAAAAAACAAATTCTGAGTTGTGCATTCCTTTATGAAGATTTGCAATGGAAATGTCACTGTACATTAATGTAAAGTAGCACAATGACAGCTTAACAAAATGTATTCAGTGGTGTAATGGGAATATATGCAATATGTCCTCTAATATAGAAAAAACATTGTGAAAGCACAGTATATTATTAAAGTCATTGGGGAAAATAGGGTGTTTTACTGCTGATGACAGAGGCCTAAAGGTTTTTCTTCTTCATTAGTTCCAGAATATTGCTGAGCCTCTTTTTTCCTCTGGCAAATCCACTGTTGTCAGGTGACCATCATTACCAGCAGCAGAGTGCTGTACCGCTGATAGAGGAGACCCACAGTGGCGAGGACGTGCCAGTGTTTGCCCGCGGGCCCTGGGCGCACCTCTTCCGGGGCACCAATGAGGACACCTTCATCGCCCATGCCATGGCGTATGCTGCTTGCCTGGGGCGCTATGCCTCCCATTGCATAGCGGACCTCCCGAAAGTGCCGGCTGTGCCATCCTTACCCAACATGCCCTCTTGGCCCTCTGTCAGCGCCTGTCCCCGACTAGTCCCATCACTCGCCTGGGTCCACTTCATTCTTGTCTTCCTGCTGCTGCTGTGAATTCCCTCTGCTCCCTGAGCCTTGGGATAACCCCATTCTAGGCCAGGGGAGCAGTCTGATCCTGGAACAGCCTTTCTTAGTGAAATTGATCAAAAGCCATATGCTTGTTTCAAATTCTTACACAATTTTTGTGGGGGTATGACGTAGAAACACAGCTTAATCGTGTTTCCCCAGGTCTAGGATTTGCTGTAAATCACTTTCCTGGCTTCCCAAAGCCAATTCCATGGACTCTGGTGTCTCATGGTTTTTATTCCATCTGTGCCTTCTGTGTCTTCAATAACTTTAATAACATTAAACCTTTATTCACTTATTCAATATATATTGTCCCCTGAGCATACCAATTCAATGCCTTACTCATTGCATAAAGTCTACATATCACAGCTAGTCATGTATTCACAAAGCAGATCTTAGACAAGGAACAAGGAGAACTCGACCACTACATTTAAAAAATTAGGTTAAACAGGTTTTGGGTCCTCATTAATAAGCAAAAAATCAGGTGTTTATTAATAAGGACCCAAAAAGGAAACACAGGATTTAAGATTTTCTTTATGTAAAAATATTTCAACAGCAGAAAAATACAAGGTTTCGTAAGAACACTTTGTGCTCACAATTACCGAACCCAGTAAATGCCAAAAGCAGAATTACAAATCGTTACAAATGAGAACGTTACAGTAGATGTGAAAAGACATGGGAGTGTGGTGGTGTGATGCTGCTGCCTCATTGCTTTTGGGTCCTGGATGTAATTATGGCCTGGACGGTGTATGGACCAGTGCTGGGTCCAGCTTGTGCTCCTGCCTTCTTCCCAGACGGTCTCTGGGGTACTGCCCCCTTACCGGTAATAAGCAGCTTTCTGATGCCGAATTAAATGAACATTAAATTAAACTGCACAAACACAGTCTGAAAGGTGAGGACTGGAGAAGCAGATGCAGAAGTTCCAAATAATAACACCCTTCCCCTGTGGGCAATGAAGCTTCCTGGTTGCAGTTAAGGAAACCTCAAATGGGTAACCCCCATCAATTGTTTTATAGGGGCGTGTTTATCAATAATCCAGCTAATTAAATGTCAGCTGTTGTTTATTGATGACAGAGTGGAGAAGCAATTTTAAGCTTAAGTATTAATAATTAAAATCCGTCACACTCAAATCTATAAATAAAACAGGTGATAAATCATGATGTGTTAACAGGGAATTTCCAGCCCTGTTACATTTAGTTTGTAGGTCTAGAAAGTTTCTGATCGCACATAACTAAAGTTCCTCAGATAACCTGACATATCCACCTACCAACGTCTGATAAAGCAAATTATTCTGTTAAAGGTTAAGTCTCTGCTGGAATGAAACCCACAAGACAAAGAGATCATAAAGTGATCAGGTGTATGTCCAGATCTCATTGTATTACATTCTTTTCACTTGTTTTCTTAAAAGCTATTAAAAGGCCTTTTCAGGCTTTCTTTTCTGTTGCTTAAACAAAATAGAAAAATATCAAAACCTTATGAAATATTTAAGGTTTGCGTATTTAAAAAAAAAATTAAATGTGCAGTGGTAGGCACTAGTTACTTGTAATAATAAGTTAGGGAACTAGAAGATCTTAATAATAATCTTGAGAAACAAGACAGTTCTTTCCTGTTGCTTCCTTGGCGATCTGCTCTGCCTCTTACGAAACCCTTGTCCTTCAAGTTTCAAACTACACAGATATGAATTAACCCTTTCTTGTCTGGCTGGTGGTTGAGGCCTCAATCAGAGGCTTTTCCAGACAATTGTAGTGGAACATATTACTCCTTTCAGGCCTGTGATAAGTTAATGGGTGATCAGTCCAACATACTATTTATCCCAACTAAGATGTTGACCATTTTCATCTGCATTTTGTTCAGCAGATACTTTTCTAAAGAGAAATGAATAAGGACCAGGGACAGGAATAGTTGCTGCTGCAAAGTCGCATGCAACACGGCCCCAGTTCCATAGCCCTCCTAAATGACAAAGCACGAGATTCAGGAACTTCATTCAATCAGTCTTTATTATTGTATTTTGTATAGGGTGTGTTTAATAGGGCACACAGTGCTTCAAATGGATAAAAAGATTGCAAGTAGACAATGTCCCTTGCTATATAATCCTGCAACTCGCAACTGGCAACTCACTGAAGCTACGCAGGTGTGAACCTGACCACTATCTGGACGGGAGACCTCCTGGGAAATCCAAGGTTCTTGCTGGAAGAGGTGTTAATGGGACCATGCCATCTGTATCAGTCCTAATGCCCCAGTATAGTGACAGGGACACTATACTGTACAAAATGGTGCTGTCCTTTGAGATATAAAACCAAGGTCC